AAGTAATAGCTTCATAATCTTCAGTAAATTTTGAATATTTTTTGTTTTCTTGAGCCATTTTCCCCTATCTACCAAAATAAAGTGGTGGGGGAAGGTTAGATCTGTTTTTATATAAATATTAATAATTCTGGACTGGATGATCGGAATCCAACAAGCGAGGGCTCGTTTAAAAGAGCGTTTCTTACTCTATATTTTACCATATAAACAATAATAATAAGCTTTTGAACGTAGACGCTAGGGGGCGTTGTCTTACAATTTAACAAACATTGCGCGTTTTTTCGAAAAAATTAAATGCAATAGTATATGTAATTTTAGCTGGTAGTAAAGAGTAGTAAAAGCTCAAAAAGTCAGCAAAAACCGCATTTTGATATCTTCTTTCAAACCGAAGATATTAGCAAAATTATAATAAATACCAAAAAATAAGCCCTAAATTACCTTATTTTTACAACACGGTATCAGTAGCCCTCTTAATTATGCCCATTTTAACAAAAAAATAAGATAGAAACAGTTAGTTTATTTTAAAATCGACGAAATACCAGAATATCATAATACCAGAGGTATTAATATCTAATAATTAAGATATTAATAACAGTGAATAAGAAACGATGATGCAGTGAAGTTATGGTAGGCTTTGGAAAAAAGTTGCTTTTGACGTAATAGTATAAACGTCAAATTGTTATTAGATCAACATTTTGATAGTCTTATCAGCGTTTTTTATCTTTTAATCGCTTTTTCAAAATGCTTTTATTATTTGAAATAGTTGAAGTTGTTGGCATTTAAAAAAAAATCAAAAGATAAAAAACGCTGATAAGACTATCAAAATGTTTAGGGAGGTTTTTAAAATGAAACATAATTACATTATAATAGTTACATAGTTGTATAAACATAATAGTTACATATAATTATAATATAATTCTTTGAAAAACAAGATAAATTCGTATATTTGCGCTGCCTGGTGAAGGTTTAGGGTCTTTTACGGCGGGAAATTCCTACAATTGTATGGTACCTAGATAACTCTAACTTCTAAAGCATGATACAAAGACGGTTGACCTAACCTTTATTGTATCATGCTTCTAAAAAGAAACTGTCCCTTCTCATTTCCAAAGCAACCGTTGCCTGTGCTAGTCGAAGGTGTTTTGTGTAAAAATAAGAAGTCAAATTAATAGGGTGAGTGTTTGTTTTCTCACAGAGCATACCATTTTTATATTTATTTCTTCATATTCTTTTAAAACTGTATATTGTTTATTGTCTTGAACTATTTTATTTGAGCTTTACGTATTTTAAAAGTATTTAACCAATAAACTCATTTGAATAAAAGCCAAAGATAATAAAAGTAACAATCAGTCTGGAACTGATGAAAGAAGGTGATATGTATGTACCAGCGGGGGCTAAAGTTTCATTGGGGTCTGTGTGGCACCACCACGCCAAGAATGTGACATTATTAGGAGGGTGTTTAGTCTAAAAAGTGTGCCTCACTGGGATGCTAATTTTGAGGAAGCATTAATTGAGTGGTTTGATGAACTTAAAAAGGCTTAAGTGAGATGAAGACCATCGGGACATTGATTTTTCTCTGAAGAGTAACCATAATTCCGATTCTGAATCTCTTACTTATAGAAGAGAGAAAATTGAATAATTAATTCCAGATCGCAACCAAAGAAAGAGATGTGGTATATGGCAACCATATGTCAATGAAGAAATGACAAAAAACAAAAATCTCATGAATCAAATGTGCACGATCCATGTGGGGCAAATGCAGATTCTATATTAGCATGAACTGTATTTGAAAAAGTTATGTACAGGGTGGGTCAAATTCGACGCTTTTAAATGGAAACACCCTTTTCTATAGGAGATAGACGAAAACTAATATCGGTGTCTGGAGCTCAATTTTTATCAAAAACATGATGGTGAAAACCGCACATCAATATGTGTTACCGTTTCGGAGTTACGGGGTGTTTTTCAAAAATGTGCATTTTTAACAAATCACTGTAACTTTTTTGCTATGGAAAATTTTATATTTCTATGAAAATATTTCCAAAGCACCTTTTTACGTAGAATTTAATGGTTTAAGTATATTTTTTTTAAAATTAATAATTTAAGAGTTATCAACAGAAAAAATATTTTTTATTTGGGACACCCTCTATATTTTCAATTAACTGAAAAGAATTTAAAATTACCTTTCCAAAAATATAGCACACTTGATATTTTGTTATAATCCCCTTCGAAATACAGAATTTTTATAAGTTCACCACTTTTAAAAAGTAGGCTTTGGACCACTTATTGATGATATGTCCTTAATGGAATTCAAAAACATATTTTTCCAGCAAAACGACGCACCGCCTCTGAACGCAGAAGTTATCAGCAAATTTTTGCAGCCAATTTCAAGAATAATTGGATAGCTAACCAAGATCCCAGCCGTTGGCCGTCGAGGCCGCCTGACTTAGGACCCATGGATCTAATCCTATGGATATATTTGCGGAAGAATAAAGGTTCCTTATTCTGCCGTATAATCTAGACAAGAATTAAAAATTCTTAGCAGTTATAAGAGGGTCTGCACCCCTACTGAGTTAATGAATTCCGCGAGAAATTTTCAAAAACTGCCCCGTCTTTCCATAACAGAAGACGGCTGATATGTCGAACACCAGTAGCAAAATCTCATGTCTTGGTTTGCTATTTATTTTTATTGTTGTTAGATATAGTTTAAATGTGTTGATGTTGGTTAAATATATTTTAAATTGTTATAAAATTCTGCATCTCTCATAGCAAATATTATTTTCGTTTGAATTGATGTTCACAGCTAGAATTTTTTGCATTACAGGCGGTGCCGTTCAAAGCCTACTTATTTAAAAGCAGGCGAATTTTTATATACTCTATATCACGAAGAGGAATCGAGGAAAATATCAAGTGTTTTATATTTTTGGAAAGGTAATTTTAAATTCTTTTCAATAAATTAAAAATATACAGGGTGTCCCATATAAAAAATCAAATTTTCTGTAGATAATTCTTAAATTATTAATTTTAAAAAAATTATACTTAAATCATTAAATTCTACGTAAAAAGGTGCTTTGGAAATGTTTTCATAAAAATTCAAAATTTTCTATAGTAAAAAAGTTACAGCGATTTGTTAAAAATGCATATTTTTGAACAACACCCCGTAACTCCGAAACGGTAACAGATATCGATATGCGGTTTTCACCATAATGTTTTTGACAAAAATTGAGTTCCAGACACCGATATTAGTTTTTGTCTATCTCCTATAGAAAAGGGTGTTTCCATTTAAAACCGTCGAATTTGACCCACCCTGTACATTCAAGGTTTGCAGTTTTGTTGAAAATAATTTATGTTTATTACTTTAGCTTCACATTTCAGTTGTTTGTACTTTTAATAATACGGTAAAATTATAAAATATATATGTATGTTTTTAATTTCTATGGGTTTCTTAGCCAAGTTATATTTCTGTTGTCAAAAATTCCTAAAAAATGCGTTTTACTTTATTTTTGTGTCCGTTCTTATTAATTTGTTGAAAATTAATGAAAGTGTTTGTTCACAAGTTTGAATATATTGTAAACAATGTTAAAATAACAAGCTTTTTTATAAAATCTTTTCATCATGTATTTTAAAGTGAAAAATAAATTCGGGTCCGAATTCACCACGCCAGTTGAGGGTTAATATTGACATCCTCCTCTTCGGTTTCGTTATCAGTCAGAACTATTAATAGTAATGTTTTATTCTTTTATTTATATCTATTTGTCTAGAACAATTGGAATTTATGGATTTTGTAAATTTTACTTAATTGTTACAGCAGTGTATCTAAATCTAGGTATTGTTATTAGATAATTACAATAATTTATTTGCTTTAATTTGAAATTGATCTTAATCATTTTTAGTTGACACAGCTATACATTCAAAACCAAAAAATTGTTAAGGTTAACTTATTTATACTTCAATAAGGTATACTAAAAAAAGTGAATGTCTGGAAGTGATATTTATGCTTTCAAATATTATTTTAATCAAATATCAATTTATTCTTTAAAATACTTCCTTTCCTTCTTATGCAATGATAAAAGCACAGAAAAATATACCTACGAAAGTATTGTCTGATGTGTGATATCAGAATAAACTTTTCATTACAAAATGGTGAAGGGAATTTAATTCTAATTATTAAATTTCTATTTATATGTTTTATAAGGAAAAATTAATAATCAGTGTAACAAATATCGTTTTAAAAATTAAAAGTAAATGTTTTAGATAACATTTTGACCTAACATAAAAGTCTATATAAAAAAACAAAACACTGATTTATTTTAAAATTGATTGGAATACAAATATTCAAAATTAGCTAACACAGATAAAACTTATCTATTATTCTCTCATATTATGTCATAATTATTAAATTTTATTATCACAATTTTCAGAAAATGAAATATACGTTATGTATGTACTATAATAATTCTGTGTTAGAAATATAAAGTGTAAAAAGAGAAGTGCCATCTAACAATTACTGTAAGAACTTTTCATATATTTTGCTGCCTGGAATAATATTGATATTTGTATCCCGATTCATATTAAAACACAGATTAAAATTTTCTTCTACACATTTTCTGAACTTTTAACTACATTCATCATTGGCTCACAAGATACCAGCACTGTTCAAAAGAATATATTTATCTTTTTATCTTTTATAAATTTAGCGAAGAAAGTGATAGGGTAGTTTGAAATAAAATAATACATTGTACATTTTTTTACATAATTTCTAAAGATCACGATAATATTATAATTTTTATTTTATTTATTATAAGAGAAAATTAATATTTGATTTATTATAACTGCTAATTCAAACATGATATTAAAAATATACTTTTTAGTTAGAAGTATTAATTTATTTAAGATTTCTTGACCTAAAAAGTAAAATTTAAATCGAAAAATGTAAGACAACTGGCACGTCTTTACGATGATATTAAAAACTAACTTTAGTTAAACAGATAAGGTTTATCAGTGTTATTCGTTGATAAAACTTCAGTTAAATTTTATGTATTTCATTGTGTGCCTTGTAATGTTACGGTTGAAATGTTTGTGTATTGTCACTGTCAACCAGTGTATTTGTTTATGTTGAAAAATGATTGAAGATTTTCCTGACGAGTAAGCATTTAATACTTTTATCTTTTTTATGTGGATGTGATCGCATGGAAGAATGTTTAGTTCTCTTAAATTAATACGTGAATGAAATATCTACCAAACGATCGAAAAAAGAACGGCGTCAAAAACAGCTGGGGAATGCATGACAATCGATGATAATTTTGGCGAGGTCAAGCATCTAGATGTCATTTACTTGGTCCGTACTTTTCGTTATTTCTTAAAGACGCCTTCTGCCAGTTGGCCTTAATAGGGTGGTAATTTATTTTTATATTGAGTAAAAATGGTTTTTAAATGGTGTAGTTTAAAATTCGAGAAATACCTATATATATTTTTTTAAATAGGTTTGTGTGATTTGAAACGTTCTATCCTTTTTAGTCTCTCTATAATTCGTGTAAATTTTTGGCAAGTTTTTATGTTAAGTTTTTGTAAATGACGTCTAGAATCTGACCTCGCTAAAATTATCATCGATTCTCCTTCCAGGCCGTCTTTGACGTCGATTTTTTTGCGATACGGTACCTACAATAAAAAAAAACGGTAACGGTCTTTAAAATAAAAATCCATGAAGATGTCTAATTTGTTAAAAATTGGAATATAAGTAAAATTTCGCTCTATTTATTCAGTAAAATTAATTGCTCAAAATTTATTTTTGTAGTAAGTAAAGTATAGTTAAGTTTCGACTTACTATACTTTTTTTCACAGAAATTATTATCGATTGTCATCATAGGCCACTATAATAGATATATCCTTGTTTATTTTATATTTTTTTTTATAAAAATACAAGGATTCGTATGATCGAATAAAAACGGCGTCAGGGTGGTTATGAAATCAGTGGTGGTTATGAAATGACGATTGGTGACATTTCCCATATAATTTTACATATAAAATGACAGCGATCTTCATTTCATAGCCACCACTGACGCCATTTTTATCCGATCATACGGTATAAAAATAGGTCTACTTGTCATTTTCGTTCAACCGGTTCAACTGAAAAACGCTGTAACTAATTTTAATCTATTTATAAAATTTATAATCAATATCATATCAAAATTTAGAGATCATACGGTATAAAAATAGGTCTACCTGTCATTTTCGTTCAACCGGTTCAAATGAAAAACGCTGTAACTAATTCTAATCTATGTATTTATATTTTATAATCAATATCATATCAAATTTTAGAAACAAATTACTAGGAATATTATTACCCACATAATATAATAATATAAATGTTTTTCTACAACTTATACGAATACTTAAGAGTTTGATCATTGGTAAAAAATATGGTGCAATTGCGCTAGGCTTGGTTTATGTTGGCTTAGTAATATACCCTTGATTAATTCTGAAGAATTTTATAAAATGGAAATAGTAGGTATATGATACTATATGAAAGGTTCTCGAAGTATTGTAATTAACTCTTGTTTATACAAGATTAATACACTGACATGGGGGTTACTTTATTTTGTGACACATTAATGTCTATGTCTATATATGTACAGGGTGGACCATTTTGGTTGTTTCTATAGGGTATCTAGGAAACCGTGAGAAATATTCAAATTTTAATATTGCAGTCTCGAGTTCTTTTTTTTGAAAAAATTACAATGGCGCAAACGGATCGTGGCTATCTTGATCGGTTTCGAAGCTACAAGGGATTCTCAAATTTTGTACTTTTTTAAGATATTCGATAGTTTGTTTATGTCACCAACCACGGAGAAATGAATTATACATTCTAAAGGCACTTTTCTGTGTAGAATCCAGTGGCGTAGTCAGACTTTTTTGGAAAAAAATATTTTTTGAGATATTACCTATACTTATGTTTTTTTTAAATAGAACCTGTATATTTTTAAATTTTCTTATTCAGCTTGGCATGGGCTTCCCGAAAATATATAACACTCTATATTTATTATTTTCACTATTAACCTCAACATTTCAATTTTTTCTTAAAATATCCACTAATTAGATAGTAGGCCGCGCCGAGTAACAAAGTGAACGGTTGTCATTGTGATCGGAACATACCTTTGATGGATGCGGGACATTTTATTTCAACAGATTGAAGTGTGTGTATTTTAAATAATAAAAAAAATAGTAAATTTGAAAATTTTGAGAAATATAATATGTTAGAATGGTATATTGAGTCTAACAAACATAAGCAAATGGCATCTGATTTATATTTTGAGCGGTATCCAGAGCACGAGCAACCAAACCCAGCCATTTTTAAAAGGTTAGAAGATAGTTTAATCACTTTTGGATCTTTTCAAAAACCGCGTCCGAAAAATTATCAGAAAGAAGATGAAGAAAATCAACATATTAATGTCCTCGGAGCCGTAACACCAGATCCAACAACATCAAGTAGATCTATTGAAATGCTGTTAACGGCGGCGTGCGGAGACGATACGAACTCTGTCTAGATTGTACCCACTCTGTCTGCCCTAGACTCTGTCTAGGGCAGCAGTCTGAACATTTAATGTAGTCTTTGTGTTTTTTTAATTTTTATATTAATTGAGAAGCCCGATTGAAGTAACCTGTTGAGTTTGTATTAAAATATGTTCTTTTGTTTCTGTCACACTTATTTTTTATTTGCTTCGTATTTTTCGAATTTATTTAATTGCTAATACATGGATTAATTTGAAAGTAGATATTCGCTTGTTTCCTTTAATACTCGGCATGACCTACCAAAAGGAAAGTCGATATCTTTAAATAAATTGGAATTTTAAAGTTAATAGTGGAAATAAATATATAGTGTTATATATTTTCGAGAAGCCCATGCCAAAGTGAATCAGGAAATTTAAAAAAATGCAGGGGGTTGTATTTAAAAAAAACATAAATATAGTTAATATCTCAAAAAATATTTTTTTCGAAAAAAGTACGCCACTGCATTCTACACAGAAAAGTGCCTTTAGAATGTTTAACTCATTTTTGCCTAGTTGTTGAAATACACAAACTTTCGAACTTCTTCAAAAAGTACAAAATTTGAGAATCCCCCTGTAGCTTCGAAACCGATCAAGTTAGCCGCGATCCGATTGCGGCATTGTGATTTTTTCCAAAAAAGAACCCGAGACTGCAGTATCAACATTTGAATATTTCTCACGGTTTCCTAGATACCCTATAGAAACAACCAAAATGGTCCACCCTGAACATATCGATAATGCATACTACATGCATATTCTGCGTAAACGTAAACAGAAAATACATTAGTGTTACTGATAGTTCTTGTTATTCATTCTAATTTATAAGGAAAATTATATTCTTCTGTTATTTTTGGATATCGTCTGGTTAAATCTTTCATGCCTTGTTGCACAGATTTTATATACATATCTATCAAAGATATTTAAACTCAATATCTATGTTTAATGATCAGCAGATTATGTTGCAAGACCAAGACGCGCTTGGTTTGGTTTGGTTGCAGGGTCCACTGTTGGTGTTGGTCTCCATTTTGGTACAAGACTGTTGCAAGTCTTGCGCTATTTAATGGCTTTTTGCTAAAGGCATTTTCTACATAGAAAATATTTATGAATATTATATATTAATTATATAATTTATTAAATATTATTTTAAGTAATTTAATGCCAATGAAACTTTTTGAAGAAAGAAACAGTATTTGTCCGATGAAAATTTTTATTTTTTAATATACAGGGTGGTCCGAATTTAAATCGAGAAACATTTGCTATATATTCTGCAGATAACTATAAAATGCTTCATTCCGGCGATACAGGATGTAGAAGTTTTATTTCGTATTTCAGGTTTTTATAAATAATTTCTGAACTCACGTCGATATTTGGATGAAAATTAATGTCTGTCTGGTTTGTGCTGAACCTGTGGCACAAAAAAATACACATGCATTACTTCAGTCTAATTACTATCTAATCAACATGAACAATTTTTGTGCATTATGACATGTATTGATTATTTCGATTCTAAATATCTTGAAAACGGTTACTTGCACCTACTTTTACAAGTTCACAAAACTGTTCAGAGGTACCATATGATCGAATAAAAACGGCGTCAGGGATGGTTATGAAATGACGATCGATGACATTTTCCATATAACTTTAAATATAAAATGACAGCGATCTTCATTGCATAGCCATCACTGACGTCGTTTTTATTCGATCGTACGGTATTTAATATAATGATTTTACATTATTATGAAACGATGTCATTTTCACAATTAGATTTGCGTGTGTTTACAAATAATTATTAAAATCAAACCATATAAAAATAGTTTTGTAGTAAAATTCCATATTCGTTCTTTTCCACGTCACTAAACACTAAACACAATGCTAAAATCGCAGATGAAACTTAAGAGTTTTTATGCTAATTTTTAAAACCTCACTTGACAGAAGAAACGTTTACTTGCCAGTTACCAGGCGACATTTCCCATATAATTTTAATGACAGCGATCTTCATTTCATAGGTCATTCTATCGTCTTGAGACACGTAAAACTGACAGGTCAAACGTTATGTGTAAACGTAGCTTAAAAGAACATTTTAAAGGTTAAATATTTTATAAAAGAGTCAAAATTTATTCCAAAATATAAGGGAATTGACTTAGTACACAAATTGAGTAATTCGTGTACGCCGAAAGTGTAATCACAATCTAATTATACAAAAACATAATATTAACGTTAGATCATTGCTAATTTAATACAACGAACTAACAGAACTAAATGTTTGTGTAAACTAAATAAGTCAACAAATTTTAAGAATAAAAAATAATGTAATGTCAGATTTTTCATCGTTTTCAGACCACAGGATCAAGCAGACCATTTGGGTTTATTCAAAGATATTTCCGAAATTTGGAGAGATCCTCCAGGGGAACCGCAGCCTGATGAAGATGGAGATATGGTAACGCGGGAAACGTTGCCCAATGCTCTATCCAACATATTTTACAGTGAAATGCAAACACCAGAAATGACGAATTTGGGACAAATATTATTAGGTGAGAAGCATAAATAGTGTCTGATCGAAAAAAAGGCGTCATAGACGGCTGGGGAATGACGGTGGTTGATAATATTGGCGAGGTCAATCTCTAGACGTCATTTACTAAAAATTGACATAAAACTTCAAATTCAAATTGGAGATTTGGTATGTTAGTATATGACATAAATTAGGATTGATTGACGTATTCAATTATTCTCGGTCACTTCCTATTTCACCGGAAATTACTACAACTTTTGATTTTTAAATGGCACCCTCGGTATTTTTTACTTTATTTGATAGAAAATGATACTCTGAATAGAATGACATATCATATGTCAACTACTAACATTTTCGCATTTGGTTTATTTGAAACTGAAAACGTCAACTATTGACATTTTCGCATTTGGTTTATTTGAAATTGTAACATGCGGTTCATAACGACAATTTGATACGAAATACCAAGTGTGTGGTATCAAATTATTCGTAAAAAATGCTTTTTCCGGATATGTTAATAAACCACCCTCGTTCCATTTGAAAAAAAAATGAGATATGATTAAAGATACGATTTGGGCATCTTTTAACCGGCCAGGATAAAACACTAAAAACATTAGATGATCATATCTGTTTTTCCAAGCCTCCTTTGTTTAAAATTAGTGTTTTTAGCACAGCTATAGCACTCCAGATGAAATTTAAAATTCGATGTTTTTTAAGCGAATATGTCAAAAGTTGACATATGATAATATATGTCATTATATTCAGTCTATCGAATAAAGTAAAAAAATACCGAGGGTATCATTTAAAAATCAAAAGTTGTAGTTATTTCCGGTGAACCAGGAAGTGACCGAGAACAATTGAACGCGTCAATCAATCCTAATTTATGTCATATACTAACATACCAAATTTGTTTTTTTTATTTCAAGAAATAAAAAAGTTATAGGGGTGAGCCCCTTTTGAGACGCATCCGGTATATTACCTACATACAGATATTTACCTACAATTTCCTAAACGCCAATAATAGAGTAAATCTGGGAAAGAAAATTCACATTATCTCATACAGGGTATTTTTTATGACTTGGCAAACATTGCAAACACCTTGTATGTTATTTTTCTTTTAGATGCAGAATTAAAAAATAAAATTTTTTTGTACGTAATGTGCTCCTAAAATTTTAACGGTGTCTCAGATATTCGCGGTTTTATATTACATATGGGTCGTTTAACAGTAAATTTTTATCAAAATATTTTAAAAAAATTTGAAGAATTTTAAATATTGCAATATTGGTCACACCGTACAAATACCTTGTATAATGTAAGTTTACCTTCAAGGATATATTTTCCTATCCTTTGTGTTTTGGAAACACACCTTAAGTTAATAAAGTTAAATTTACTCCAAGATTTAACCACGTTTCAGATATACTACTGAGATATACTACTACTCAGAGATATACTTTTATTAAATAAGAAATGGCATTGCAATACAGCATACGACTTCAAATAAAAATAGTGTACTAGATGCATAATTTTATTCTGAATCTAATACTTGATCTAATACTGTACAGAAAAATGTGGGTTTCAAGTTAAAAAACTCACAACTTTATCATTACTTTTTTGGAACACTCTATATACAACTTTTAGAATATGCATCTCTATAAACCATGCAACACTTGTATAAAACATTTTCCATATCTTTGTTAACAAGATATTGAACTTCCTCGAACTAACGGACCACCCTGTATATTTTTTAAGTGATATTCTATATACCGTATGATCGAATAAAAACGGCGTCAGCGATGGCTATCAATTGACGATCGATGACATTTTCCATATAATTTTACATGCATATAAAATGACAGCGATTTTCATTTCATGGCCATCGCTGACGCCGTTTTTATTCCATCATACGGTATTACTATTTATAATAGTTTGCGATTTAATTTTGAATTTGAGTACCCAACGTGTCCCTAATCAGCTAGTTGAAAACTGCTGACCTTCAAAATGAATTAAAATATTTTTTACTTACATTGTACAGTATGTACAGCCACAGGCTGCATTCTGATTTATGTCATTTTATTTCGTATATTCAACTCTACATAACTTTCGCATTTACTTTTGTAATTACTACAAAAAAATTATCTGAATATTAAATTGTTTTTTAAAATAAATTCCTTCACCATATTATCAAAAATAGTTTGCAACTAAGCATTGCTTGGACAAAGGCTTGGATATGATATGGTCTGCTTTTTATAATTAAATATTTACTTTTTTTAGTAATACTATTAGTACGTCGAAGTAGTTTTAGAATTTGTAATTAATAACGAGAAACAAAATTTATATAAATATTAAGTTATAGTTTTTTTGATTACCTTCGCCATATTGTCATAACTTTACACCATGTTTTGAGATTGAATACACAGTGATTACAGGACAGTGTTTTAACATATATTTATATTTTTACTACATTAAAATCTCTCATTTTTTTTATTAAAACCTAGATTTTGTGTGCGAGATATATAGAGTAGAATAACTAATATTTAATGCTATTTTGTATCTCAATTTTATTAATGGATTTTTAGCAAATAATATAGAAGATAAATTAACAGATTCAACAGTGAGTAGACTATCCCTATCTCACGAAAAATTAGAACAAATGCCTAAAATGATATGCCAGGAGTTTGGAGCGGACATAAAAATACTGGACCTCAGCTATAATAATTTTAGGTAATGCATAGATATTAAAAAAATAATTTCTGTAATTGACAAAGTATTGACGTAAGTATTTAATGTGAGGAAATTTACTCTTCTAGAGAAAAATTAAGTTCCATCCAGTATCAATGAGAGAGTTAAACAATGTTTAATATAGGTATACAAGTTGATTGAATAAATGTAAATATTTTCAGGGCTGGCAGATTTTTCGATACCAAATTTTTTTTTTCACGAAAATACCTACCTATAGATGTGTTACTAGGGTCAAAATATACCAGCCCTAAAAATATTTGCATTTATTTGACGCCCAATATGTATATTAAATATTTAACACTACTACTTATTTTGAACTTTATATACTCGTACATGCCTATAGTTAAAATTTTAGAGTTAAAATTTAATATTATACTAATCATTAATAATGAACCTTACTATAAATGTTAAAATTCCAACTATTATTGCAAAATGCATTTCTATGATTTTTTTTGAAGAATATACATAAGGAAATAATATCTTCTGTGTTAAAAAAGACGAAGTTATTATTCAGGAACAAAGGGTATAGCCGGATTAATATAGGAAATCTGCCCCTGCGGATTTTTTGAGTCGCACTCAGCGAATCGATTTGGTGTCGAATAAAATAATTCACCTAAATTTTTAACTCTTTAACTCAAACGGTTTTCGAGATTTTCAAAAAAAAACTGTTTTTTCTATTTTATTATTACTTTTATAGCAAAATTCGAAATTATTTAATGATAATTTTTTTTATAATTCTTGGAAGTCTAAGACATGAAAAAATAATATGATCATGATTTTTAAGCAAAAAGCCGATTTTTAGCGGAGGAAAGAAAATTAAAATCTTCATTTTTTAACCTTCGTGAAATATGTCACTAACTATAAATTGTCAGAAAATGTCTTTTATATTTCTTTACACTCAGGAATTTTTTAGAATTTTTTGAAGTGGTGGAACAATATGAAAAAAATTAAAAACTCATTTTTTTTCTAATTTTTTTTTCTAAAATCTTCTCGGACTGATTTTTTTTTATAATAATCTTTATGTTTATTTCTGGCAAGGATGTATTTGTAATGAAAAAATATTTTCTAATCACTTTTTTAAACTAAACAAAAGTATAAGTTAAAAACTTATTAGTTTTTTTCATATTGTTCCACCACTTCAAAAATTCTAAAAAATTCATGAGTTTAAAGGACCATAAAAGACATTTTATGACGATTTTTAGTGAGTGACATATTTCACAAAGTTTAAAAAATGAAGATTTTAATTTTCTTTCCTCGGCTAAAAATCGGCTTCGTTTAAGAATCATGATCATATTATTTTTTCATGTGTTAGACTTCTAAGAATTAGAAAAAAATCATCATTAATTAATTTTAAATTTTACTATAAAAATGAAAATAAAATTGAAAAAGCAGTTTTTTTGAAAATCTTGAAAACCGTTTGAGAGAGCTAAAAATTTAGGTGAATTATTTTGATTCGACACCAAATCGATTCCTTGAGTGCGAGTCAAATAAGCCGCGGGGCAGATTTCCTATATTAATCCGGCTATACCCTTTTAACAATTTTATATTGTACATTCGCCATATTATCAGGAATTCAAAAGGGTTCATTAATATGTTGATTATATTAAATTTGACATAGAGTTTTGTGTTATATACCACATTTTATCACTTAATTATTATACGTTTCAATATTCGATTGCAAACTTTAAATTAAATTTAATTTAAAAATTTCTTATGTTTTAAGTTTGATTAATCAGTAATTTTTTTTTTCAGGAACGTAGATTTTTTGGAATATTTTGAAGAGCTGACATCACTTATACTCGACAGAAATCCTATAAACGTATTAGAAACTAATATTCCGTTTATGCCAAAATTAGAATTACTATATTTAAATTTTTGTAAAATAGACGAAATCTTCTGGGTAGAAAGTCTAAGGTATAACTGCCCTAATTTGAAGTACTTATCACTAATGGGTAATCTAGTGGCTCCATCCCCATTAAACGGTGGATCTATATATGACTATTTGCGATATAGGTAATGCTTATTAATTTAATAATCAAAATAATTATCGGTGAATTTAAACCTTTACGGCTATACGGCTTAACATTAATCTGAAAAACATTAATCTGAAAATCATCGAAAAACAACTTTGATTTTTGTTAGGTTAGGTACTAATTAAATGTGCTGCTATACCGACATAGTATAATCCTTTATCTTTAATTTCCTTCTTCATTTGTGTAAAAATACCTAGCCAGTTTTACATAAACCGTAAAATGCCGAATGCTTATTTTGCTACTTTTTTGGACTAGTGACTAAGAGGAAAGTTCTTTCCTAAACCGCTAAAACCGGCCTTTAAAGGAATATACCAACCCTAAAAACCGGCCTTTAAAGGCCGGTTTTACATCTTGGTCCGTAACATATCCACTGTTTAGATATATTGCGTTAGAGTCATAAGGTCAAATGCCGAATTAATAAAACAATTAAATGCCAAATTCTATACAAAACCTTCATACAACGATTAATGCAATTTTGATTATTTTTAGGCTATATGTTATATCAATTCTGCCAAAGTTGATACATTTAGACGATAAATACATCACTGATGAGGAAAGAAATGAATCAAAACATATGTTTCCGTCTCCTTTTTTTCACGGAATGTTTAGACATACTAAAGCAAGGCTACCTCACTATCTAAGGACATTGACTGAGAAAGTAGGCGATTATTTTTCTGGGGGTAGTAAAGTAGGTTCTAGTAAGAATACAAATCTAGTGATATAGACTAATTTCTGTTAAGATAATAAATATGTTTTATTTTTGTATGTCTATTTTTGTAATATTTATATTTTAAATTGTGTATATACGGATTTTTTTATGATATATAATAAATAATAGAGAAAACCAATACTTTTAATTTATTACATTACACTGAGACAAAAAATTTAAATAGACAAATCTTACTGTAAAAACAAAACTTTTACAGTAAGATTACAAACCGAGGTTTCTATCTGGATAGATATAGAAACGCTTCCTATTGAAAGAGCGAATGTCAAATCTTGTCATATATGTTCAAAAAACACAATTTTGAATTTACATATCGATTTTAGTTATAGGAAGTGGTTAATATAATTCAAAGATTAAACAAATTATTATTTTACATTGTTCGATTATGATACAAAATACAGGGTAATTAATTTAAAATAGTGAAAAATACAACATTTAGTTTTGACCCACCCTATATACATTAAACAAGATTGCAAATTTTGGTAGACTGAATTTTGAAGAAGACACACATTTTTCATACTGTATCTCGTGTTAAAAAAATGATTTTTTTTTGGATTTGGAATTTTGAGAGAGCTTCAAATTAAGCATTATATTTAGTACTAGCATGTACTAGCGGCTTCTTCGCGTCGAATTAATCATTTGTAATGGTGATGATAAAGCAAAGCAAGAATTTCCATTAACATACAAACTGGATAACATTTTCTCACATTTATGTCAGCATGAGAAAAAACAATATGGCGATATTATTATATAACTTAGTAATATTTGAGGGGTAGTTTCTTCTCGTTGGAATTTAACTTTCGAAAAATCCGTTTGCCAAAAATAAGCTTTTTACGTCAAGCAGTTTAAGCAGAATCGTGGTTAAGAAATTACCCAACTTTTTAGAACACCCTGTATGAATTTTTAAAAAAACTCAAAATTTGTAAAAAACCAAATAAATTATGCTTGTCCAAGCGTTTTCCCGAAAGACTAACCGTTTTTTAAATAACAAATATTGTAATATTTGATGGGCGTTTTCACCCTCTTGGAATTTGAGATTCGAGAAACCCCTCCTTATCGAACCTCTACACCCCACAGTCAATCCGTTTGCCAAAAATCAGCTTTAAACGTCAAGCAGTTATTTTATGAAACACCCTGTATAATTTTTTTAAAAAAAATTAAAAATATATATACAACAACAAAATAAATATACGTGTTTAAGAGTTTTTCCGAAAAACGGTTTTTAAATAAAAAATATTTTAATATTTGAGGATAGTTTCACCCCCTTAGAATTCGAGTTTCGGAAAATCCCTTCTTATCGAACCTCTACACCCTAAAATCAATCTGTTTTCCAAAAATCAGCTTTTTTCGTCAAACGCTTTAAGCAGGATCGTGATTAATCAATGATCAGATTTTTCGAAACACCCTGTATACATTTTTAAAAAATCTTAAAATATGTAAAAAAACAAAATAAAATATACGTGTTTAAGCGTTTTTTCGGAAACCGTTTTTTAAATACAAAATATTGTAATATTTGAGGGGTGGTTTCACCCTCTTGGAACTGGAATTTCGAAAAATCCCTTCTTATCGAACCTCTACACCCTAGAATCAACCTGTATGCCAAAATTGAGCTTCTTACGTTGAGTGGTTTGAGCAGGATCGTGATTAATCAGTATGTCAGTCACTTAAGGATTTTATATACAGTAAAACTTCCATATAGGGGCCACAAAAATTTTCAAAGGAATGTGGCCGTTAAGGGAAGTGGCCACTATTGGGAACAATAAAATACAGATACCAATGTAAAATGCCTTTATTTTGGAAACGTGCAAAGTAATTAAAATTAAGTACGAGCATGTAGTACAAACACACAATAAGTGTTAATAAATGATCTTCAGTTTTAGATTTTTGGCACAAAAAAATAGTTCAGTTGTTACAAAAAAAACTTTATTACATAAAAATTTTTGAAAAAAAAACTTACTATGTATACATATGTATTTTACACATAGATATTCTTATATACATATGTACAATTGACTTTAAAAAGTTACAAAATGATAACCTTATTTTATATGGTGAAAAACTGATTAATGGTAGTCTGCTTTAAACTTTTAATTTTGATTTTTGTAATTTCACTTTCAAATTTCATCAAAGTATGGGCAATATCAACCGCTAGTTCGTCTTTGTTTTGAATCACCAAAAAATTCTGAATGTCTCTTAATTTTTCACATACTTCACTCATATTATTTATAGATGAACACAGAATGTCTTGGCCTTCATCTTCTTCCTCTTCGGCTTGAGTGGAGTCCTGTCTGTCCTTGTTGTTTGTAAATTCCTGGATTATTCCCTGCATCTCTAAACTAGGATTTTCCGTAGGGACATCTGAATCGACTGTCAGATATTCTTTAAGATCTGGACTTCCTGGCATGTTTTTTAAAATTGAAGATAACTGACTTAAAGGAATGTCGTCCTCTTCGTCAAATGCATCGTCCCCTTTGACGGTTGCAAATCCCGCTTTTTGGAAACATTTTTTTATAGTGTTCGATGTAACATTTTTCCATGCTGTACTTATCCACACCATAGTACTTGCCAAATTTATGCTCTCTTTAGCCTTTTCCATCGTTTCTTCGGTATTAGTAAAAGTCAAAAGTCTTTTAATAAAAAATTGACGATATTTTAATTTAAAATTTTGAATAATTCCTTGGTCCAACGGCTGGCAATGAGATGTCGTATTTGGAGGAAAAAAAATTATACGAACATTTTCAAGTTCTATTTTTGGGTGAGACGTGGCATTATCCAAAAATAAAAGAACTTTTCTACCCTGCCGTTTCATTTTGGTGTCAAAGGTTTTGAGCCAAGATGTCATTATATCTGTCGTCATCCAAGCTTTTTTGTTGGATACCCATTCTATCGGCAATTTATCTACATGCGCTCCTTTAAAACATCTCGGGTTTTTGCTCTTACCTATAACTAGCGGATTTTCCTTCTCACCATGCATGCTGCAACAGAAAAGCAGTGTCACTCGTTGTTTAGCTGATTTTTTGCCAGCACATTTATCATTCTTTAAAGCAAAGGTTTTGTTTGGCATTGCCATATAATAAAGCCCTGTTTCGTCTGCATTAAAAATGTCTTTAGTGTCGTATTCCTTAATGATTGCTGTTAATTTTGTTTTCCAGTCTTCAACAGTCACTTCATCCACATCTGCAGACTCACCACAAATTGTTTTGAAGTTAATATTATGTCTCTTGCAAAACTTATTTAACCAGCCAGTTGAAGCCTTAAATTCACTAAGTTTCAAGGATGTAGATACCTCAAGAGCTTTTTCCCGAATTAAGGTTCCCGATATGGGTATGTTTTTGTTCCTTGCCTTACAAAACCATTCGTAAACTAGTTGATCGATTGCAAATCCTTCTGTTTTAGGAAACTTTCGTTTTTTATCTGCATTGCATCCTTCTTCTTCAAACATTTTTTTTAATTCCACTTTGTTTTTTAAAATGTCGTTCACTTGCGTTCTTCCAACACCAAACTTTTCCGCCAACTTTCGAGCACTGCTGTTATATTTTTCACTTTCCGCGACAATATTTAATTTCTCTTTAATAGACAAACGTTTACGTTTCAAAGACATGGTTGCTGTTCTTTCAGAGTAAGAAACTAAACTGATTCTATATCTCCCAAAAATTTCAGCAAACTACTGACGAATTTGTATTGTATTTGTCACTCTCTGTACCTACTTCTCAAACAAATTATAAATGTTTATTGCTTGGGATTTCCTAAAGTGTCCTGAAACAGCTCTTGTTAGACAAAAAAAAGGTTCAAAGGGTTCGGTTTTTGGCCGGTATTGGGGCAATAAATTTAATGGGTTTTTCCCTAAAATGTACCTTTGAAGCGGCCGGTGACCGCTTTTGGAATTAACGTTATTGAGAAATATTTTAATATAGGAATTCCCCTAAGATTAATTCAAACAACTGAAAATTGACCGCTAACAGAAGTGACCGCTTTTTAGAAGTGGCCGAAATGGGAAGTTTTACTGTATTAGTATAGATATACCGGGTTAGTCTCAAAACCCCTATAACTTTTTTATTTTTTCAGAAAAAAAAACGAGATTTGGTATGTTAGTATATGACATAAATTATGATTGATTGATATATTCAAATCTTTTCGGTCACTTTTTGTTGCACCGGAAATGTCTACAACTTTTGATTTTTAAATAAAACCCTTGGTATTTTTTTTACTTTATTTGAGAGAAAATGACATTCTGAATAGAATGACATAGCATATGTCAACTTTTGACATTTTGAATTAAAAAAAATACCATTTTAAATTTGAATTAATTTTAATTTAGAGTGCCATGCTCATAAATGTAATGACAATTTTACTCGAAATACCAAGTGTGTGGTACCAAATTATTCGTAAAAAATTGATTTTTACAAATATGCTAATGAGCCACCCTCGTTCCATTTGAAATAAATGAGATATGATTAAAAATAAGATTAGGGCATTTTCTAACCGGCCAGGACAAGACACGAAAAACATTAGACGATCAAAATCATCATTTTAAAAACCAAAATAATTGTTATTTAAAAATCAAAAGATATAGTCATTTTCAGTAAAACAGGAAGTGATCGAATACAATTGAATACGTCAATCAATCCTAATTTATATCATATACTAACATACCAAATCTCGTTTTTTTTATCTGAAAAAATAAAAAAGTTATAGGGGTGAACCACTTTTGAGACTGACCGGGTGTTTAAAAAACCACTCGGTATTTTATAGGACATTCTGATATTTATGGAATGGAAATTTAATTGCAAATCTACTGAGCTAAAAATATATAGTATTCAATATAAATATATACAACGTTAGCTTGAAAGTAAGTATGATTGTATGTTTAAAGAAATATTTTCAAAATGTGCGTTACCATTGTCCTCATATTCTAAAAAAAATAAAATCACAAACCAAAAACCTAATATTGGTTTTTTTCGGAAGCCTCGGTCACCCTGTGTACAGGGTGGTCCGAATTATATTCAATAAAATTTAGCAGCATATTCTGCAGATAAAAATAGGTAAAAAATTTCCTCTAAATTTATGTCCTAAAATGCTTAGTTTCGGAGATTCAGGATGTAGAAGGGTCTTTATAAAAAGTAATAACTTTTTGGTTGTATCTGTATAAAATTACTGAGTGAAAAAATATACATTTCGTCATTTTTTACGTAAAAACGGCCTCTCGGTAAAAATCGTAAAGATTTACTGTTCTCAAGATATTTAGAATTAAAATTATGAATGCTTGTCATACATGACAAAAACGTAATTATGTTGACTAGATAGTTATTTGAGTAAAGTGATTGGGAACTCTTTTTTTAAAACTAATTGGGAACTTGGGAACTTTTTTTTAAAACTAATTACTATTTTTTCTAGAAGAAATTATGATGAAACAGTTTCTGTTGAACCTTTGACACAAAAACATTTCAAATTTATGACTTCAATCTAATAACTATCTTGTCAACATATTCAGTTTTTGTTAATGATGACATGTATTGATTATTTCGATTCCATATACTCGTTGCGATTCTTACCAAGAGACCTTTTTTACATAAAAAACGGCGGAAATGGATTTTTTTTACTGAGTAGTTTAATACAAGTACCGGCGAAAAGTTATTACTGTTCAAAACATGTAGGTGGTACCCTCTTCAGCTAGGCGTCAAATAAAATTTCCCACGTCACTAAACAACCAGGCACCAATTTTCATTCAAATATCGGAGTTCAGAAGTTATTTTGAAAGAATCGAAATAAAAATGAAACTTCTACACCCTCTATCTCCTATATATGAAACATTTTAGGACATACATTTATACGAATTATTTTACTTATTTTTATCCGCAGAATATGCTGCCGAAGCTTCCCGAATACAATTCGGACCACTCTGTATATAAACTATACTTACCAGCACATAAGAATATTAAATACAAAAAAAGACAACATCAAATTCATTTTAAAATTCTTTATTTTTTCTATTGTTTGATACTGTTTCCTAGCCCATAAATTGGATCAGCAGAAAATTTGATATAATCAGAGGCTGTGAAATGCTCAAAAATAATAATTTCATTGTTAACTGCCAGAAGTGCCTTAGGAAGATACAATGCTTGCTGAGGACCAACTGCGAACACCCTTCCCAGTACAAAGCCATTTACAATTACAATTCCTTTTACCCAATCTTGGACGTTGATGTAAGTATCAACATCTGGAACAGCCACTTCGAAGGTTCCCTGTAATAATTTTAGTAAAATTAATTAAATTAGAATTCCATTTATTACAATTTGTTATAATAATTATATTATATGAAAAGTGTGGGATTGTATGTAATTCGTAATGTTTTGACTTATACACATTAATTTGAACATTAAGGTACTACTATCAGATAAACCGAACAGCGAAGATCATTGTGATAACGGTTTTGTAAAAGGCAAACATCAAATTTCCCTAATGGGTTACAAAACTTTTAATCTTCATGAAGTCAAAAAAATCATTCGTCGGTGTAGTTTTTGTAGGGGTGGTGGTAGTTTTCACCCTTCCCGTACTTTTCCTTTATTTTTGTGAAAGTTAAATGTCAAATTACCGCTTAGCGAGACGTCGGCACCCCAAATCTCATTCAAATCAGAATAACGGTTCTTAAAATATCTTGTAACTTTGTTGTAAGTTTGATACCTCCTAACGGAGAAACGAAGCACTTTTGTATAGAAGTAAATTGTATCTTTATGAATGTATCTAATAAACTTATTATTTTGATTTCAAAAAAATTACGTAGTAGTTCTATGTCCACGAAATATTGGGACATCCTGTATATGGAAATGATACCTACATCATACCTGGTTTAAGTCACCCAAAATATAGCTTATTTAGATTTGTATCAATGTTTATAAAGTTAAAATAATATTTATATGTTTATATAACTTACCCTGTATAATGCTGGAGTGGCTACTTTATTCTGTATTTCGTGCCAGCCAGTCAGATTACGGTTCCAGGATTTTTTAAACTCGAGTGGTACTATTTCCCAGTTTTTGATTGAGACTCCGTCAATTAAAACTTCATCAATCAATCCTATTCCAAAAAAAATCAAATGTTACTTAGGACCAGTTTTATACATTCGGGTTAATTTTCATATTCATTCCTGAGATTTCCCAGCGAAGTCAGTTTTAAGGGTTGCAATAAACTGAAATTTATATTTTGAAAACAGTCTGGGCCTTTGCCACTGAAAATGAATTCTGGAAAATTTAGTTGTTTTTGGTAAACACCACTGATGCGTTGAATCTAAACAGAAATCAGCTTGTCAGTGACTTTTTACTGGAAAAAAATTATTTAGCCGAAAATTACAATGGGATGTTGGAATCTTAGATATTACAACATCAGAACTAAACACTAATTCACGATAATACACAAAAACACTTTACTTTCTTACTGAAACTTGATTTTTAATCATCTGTTATTTTTGCCAACGTGGTTAGCATAACGCGCGTCCAATGCAGAGGTAAAGTATTTTGGTGTATTGTGGTGAAATAGTGTTTAACTCTGGTGTAGTCGATAAAATGCCTAACTTTTCAGGAGGCATATTTTCTCCTGGTCGTAAGTATAAAAAAATAAAAAGAGAAACTATTTAAACTGTCTACATATTCATATTAGTATTTAGAGAAAACCGTCCAGATTATAAACCGTTGGCGTCCTGTTATTTTAACAGAACATCAATGTTATATATTTTTTCTTTCGTTTTTTTGCTTCTGACGACGTGAAATGATATACCTCCTGAAATTTAACAATATTTTTCGGTTAGGCAAACTTGTTTTACTGGTAAAAATCCATGCCTGGTTTCTGTTTTGAAAAAGGACAGTAGTGTTTATAATAAATGACTTTCATATTTTGTAGATTTCTCTTTCAGTGACGAAAAATCCAGACTTTTTTTTTCAAAAAATACAACCGCTGGGTATAGTCAATATTTTTAAATGTTATGCATTTGAAGGTTAATTGAATCCACATCCACATTGATCCACAGAAATAATTATTTGGTTATTCTCAAAATGGTATTTTTTTCATTCTCGTGACAACTGGATAATAATTTTAACTACTGAGAGTGTTAAAACTACTAATATTATAGATAAATCGAGAAAATATCATATGTTCATATTAATGGAGTTGATAATCAACAGATAACTGAAATATATAAAATTATATTAAATGAAATAACCCCAAAATTAAACTGAAGTTTAAACTTGGGTCTTTTTTTAAGAGCTAAAAAAAAACTAATTCACCACAATACACCAAAACACTTTACTTTTAATATTGAACATTGGACGCGCTTTTCGCTAACCAGCATATTTTCGTTTCTATAATTCATTTAGCAACGTTCAGCAGACGATCAAAACTTTCGCTTTAATCAACTCTTTAGTTTCAATCATCTGTTGATGACGCTAACATAGTTAGCGAAATGCGCGCCCTGTGTTAAAAGTAAAGTGTGTATTGCGGTAAATTATGATTTTGCTGTTGTAACAGATTTTCAAAGGTTCCATCCCTTAACTGTAGTCTTTTGTTAAGTGTTATCGGAAGATATAAAACTGGATCTGAAATGAGATACTTTAAAAGAAACTTTACCTTTAAATTGCTGGAACCGATCCAAGGTACCGAAATTATTTCTAGACAAATTTTCCACAACTAAGTCAAGTGTAGCGTTCTGTAAAGCTTCATCTGTAAGTGTGATATTAGAATCTTTCAATCGCCAGTATCTGCAAAATAATTTTTATTTTTAGTTTTCCTTAACAAAAAATGAAAAAAAAGTAGTACCCAAAATTGTTTAAGTCGTCCAAGCTAGATAATACAGGGTTGATAAGTTTTCCATTGACTAGAACCAATACGTGGTCTCTGACGTAGCCAGAAATTAAGAGTAAGGCATTTGAGTTCAAAGTGAGATTGGTTTTTCGGTATACGACATAACCGAAGTTCTGACCTAAAATCCAAGGAAATACTAGATTAATACCATTTTATGGTAGTCTATGACTAAATGTACCTGAATTATTATTAATGGGTAACTTTTCCATCGATATTAGGTTTTCGCTTGCAATTTTGTCAGGATAAGAATCAATTATTTCCGATAGTAATATCTGTTGCTTGATCTATAATTGAAACAAATAAAATCAATAAAATAAAAAATCATGTTAAATAAAACAAGTAAGGGTTGTACTTAATTCACAAACCTCTCAATATTTGTATTTTATTAAAAATAGCTATAATTTTTGTTAATTTACCACATCATCGGGATTAGATTCATTATAAATGTTTGATCGATATGAAAAAATTCTAGAAACGAGGACACACTTAAGATTGACATTCAAGCAGCATAAAAAAAACATTTGATTCCATATACAATTCTAGACTAGAATGAGATTGGAAATGAAAAAGCAGATGAAATGGTCCAAACAATACACATCTAAATTGTATTCGTTTAACTATAACCTTCCGGTGGTGCTGCCAAAATCGATAACGATAAGAAATCCCTCGAATGGTATATAATTCAACAGCCAGATTTGAACAGTTCATATTAGAACACTCGACCATTTTACAGAGAGAAATGGACTTGCTAAGTTGAAAGAGGCTTCACTGTCACTGAATGTTTCCTTTTGAACATGTATTTGTATTGGGGCTACAAACAGCATTGCAAGTTCAACAGGTATTTAAAGATTCTGTCAACCAGCAGAAAACACAGCTCAACATAATATATTTTCTATCTGCGCGATGGTTTGCCAAGTGTGAGTTTCTTTACTAGGTGCTAGTAACCTATTAGCAAAAAAAACTATAAAGGCAGTTCAGTCTTGTAGTAAGTAGATTTTGTGGACGGAGTAGACGTGGAGAATTTAATCTAAAGATCAGAGAAGCACAGTAGATTTGGAAATGTCAAAGGTGTACAGTCCAAGAGCCACATCATAAAATTTATTTTGAAGCCAAGGCAGTTATGGATCAGGTTAGAACAAAGGTATAATGTTTAAACGTTTTATTTCATTCAGAAAATTCAGTGAACCATTGTTTCATCAGAATTTGTTGTTTTTTGTGTTCTTATTATTCTGATTGTAGAGTTTATACCTCAAAAAATTTGAGAAAGCTAATTTTAAAGCTACCTCAAGGAAGGCAATGGCAAACCACCTTGAGTTTATCCTTGTACCGTCTCTTGCCTTGTACAGTCTCTCAAATAGTGCCGTTCGGATTCGGCGATAAACTGTAGGTCGCGTGTACTTGTGAAACACTGATGACACACATCACAAGTACATGCGAGGGGTAGCCGAAGCTCTGTATAGAGTATGGCACTGTAAGAAGAAGCATTTTAAATAAATATATTCACTGTCAAGTTTGTGAATTAAAGACAGTCCCTACTTGCTTTATGATTACAGTTAAAGAAGAGAGTTAATAATATTACTTTCAAAAAAGTCCTATGGGTATTTCGCCACAGTACGAAAATCTACAAAATAAAATAGTTATTATTTGTAAACACTGCGGCATTATTCCAACGGAAACTAATTGTCAGCAGTGGTTTAGTAATAAGGGTAATACGTAATTAGCCTAACAGACGTTAATGCTTAACGTTTCGGGAAGTATCTCTTCCCGTCGTCGGAAGCAAAAAAACACAAAGAACAAAGAAAAATCTATCTAAAATATCTAAATGTAACTATTCGAGAACACTTTAGTTTCTTTCAAACAGATACGTCTATAAAAACCGTTGACGTTTTTTCTCAATAATTATTGTATATTGTATTTTTATACAATATACAATTGAGAACAACAAGCAATAACTATTTTATTTTGTAGATTTTCTTACAGTGGCGAAATACTCATAGTACTTTTTAAAGGGATGAATCTGCCACAGATGTATAGACATTTTTTAATAATATTTATATTTACTTCAATATCAGCGTACACTCCCGTTTGTTCTGATGCAGGAACATCAGGAAGGCGAGTTTTAATTGGATTATATTTAGCAATTAATTCAGCGGTAGCGTTGTATTTATCAATTATTGCACCAGATTCAGAAATGGGAGCGTCATAATCATAACTAAAACAAAAATAATAAAAATGTGTAACTAATGTAAAATAATATGAACTTCTTTACAAAGTTCTTTACCTTATACAGCTCTATACTGCATTTATTTATCGTTGTAATGAATTAAACAGTGAATTACTTATTAAAAATGTTACCTGGTAACTGTAGGTTGTAATCCCCAGTTTTCCAAACCTTCTGAATCATAACCTGCACCGGCTGTGAAACCAAAATTAGTGCTGCCAACAAACATATAAATATTGACGGAGGAAGGGTAACTAAGAATATCTTCATATACTTGTTGGTATGTTTCAACGGATACTGTGTGATGAGTTTCGGTAAAGTGATCAAACCATCCTACAAAGATATTCATTAGTATGAGGTCTATTAAATTCGAAACGAAAAAATATCAATTTAATCTTCTTTAATATTTCAACTTTCTCAATTATATATTTTTTTGGTGATACTCTCGAAGAAGTCTCTCATATCGACAATTTTACAACAGTTACATACCTGACCAGTATTCCATCGTCATGGTAGGTTTATTAGTCTGAAAACCATTCAATTTATCCAAATTGTCTTTAGCATCTGTGTTAAAGTTAGCGGTCATCAAAATTTCATTGGGCAAAGCACCTCTTGTGCCTGCAGATGGTGGATCAGATGTATACAAAAGTTCAGTAACATTATTTTCTTTAAGAATCTGAAAAAAATTCCAAAATTAGTTACGATTAGCTAATATACAGGGTTGGTATTAAGACGTTAATTGTTTTTTTTTTAATTTTATATACTCGCCGGCACGAAAAACGGGCACCTTAAATATTTCATGTATTTCAAAGTTTTATATATTGTGTTCTAATGCACCGATTTTGATCATATTTTAGCAATTTGTAGCTAAATTATTTGACTTTTTAGTATCTCTTTCTAAATTAAAAATGAAAATTGCCATCTGTCAATTATACGAGGGAAAACAAATGCTGATATTTTGGTGAAAGTTTGAAACATCCTGTGAAGTACATTAACAAAGCAAGAAATTTAAAGATCATTTTATCATCTAGACGTATTTGTTTTTTGGTTCATCTCAATAGATTTATTTTTTTGGAGATTCGCTTTTGAAGAGACCCTAACATTTTTTTGTATTTTGTACATTAAAACTATACCTTATCTTTTGGTCCTAGTCAACAGACATATAAAATAGTGTTTATGATTTGTGTAATGTCATGGTCTTTGAAAAATCATATTATTATTTTCCGTTTGGTAGTTGCTCTAACAGAGATGGTTTTAAGTCCAAAAGTTGATCTCTACCATGACCAATTAAAACATTATTTTTATAGATGGGAAACGCCATCGGTGTGGGGATCTACCTCCCTACTCTACCCAGAGGGCCTACCTACTATAAATCATATTTTCTTCATAACCCTATCTATCCTGGAACCGCCGCGCCGGCGGCGGCGCCGCGAAGCATAACATCGGGATAGTAGGTGATCCACAGTTATCTCATATCTTCCTTATCATAGTTATTTTTATCACAGTTTAGTTTACAATCTTCATCACAGTTTAATTCACTATTCAATAACATCACAGTAAATAATGGGTTTTTGGCTCTAATCTCATCGTCTACTTTGTGTTTCATTATAGTATGCAGCATTGATATGATGGCTCGGCACTTTTCTTCATCTTCACCAATTAGTACACCATCTGTGTTTTTCTCCAGCTTCGTCTGGCATATTTCTTCTGTTGTGTGATATTACATCGTCACAATAACAGTTCAGTTGATCTCTACCATGATCAATTAAAACAGCAATAGCCGATACTTCAGAATTTGAATCCATCTTTACTATACTATCATACTTATCTACTATCTCTCTAAACCATCTCTACTACAATGTCATTTGCCAATAATAATATAACTTTTCAATGACAGTGACATTATAAAAAAATAAACACTCTGTTATAAGTGCGTTGATGAGGAAAAGGAAAGACATGCTTTCAATACTAAAATTGCTGTAAATCGTTACTGTCTTATTCAAAGGAAAATATATCTAATAAAAATAACGCTATTGATATGAATCAAAAACCAAACTATCGAGAAAATCTGTACCTAGATGATAAGGTTATTTTTAAATCTCTTGCTTTGTTAATATATTCAACATGGTGTTTCAAACTTTCTCTAAGATGTCAAAATTTTGTTTTCCCTCGTATAATTGACAGATAGGAATTTAATTTAGAAATAGATACTCTCTACTAAAGCCAAATAATTTAGCTACAAACTGCTTAAAAAATCATCAAAATGGGCCCACTGAACAAAATATATTAAACTTTAAAATACATCAAAATTTTAAGGTGCCCGTTTTTCGTGCCGGTGGGCAGTGAATGTATTTCTTTCAAAAAATATTCCTGCCATCTTGTAGATGTTCTCGTAGTATTAAAATTATGTATTATTTAGTAATTTTTCAAATCTATTATAATATATCACTAATGTCCAATACTTCAATTCAAAAGTGTAGCTTGAGAGCGATATATCAATGTTTTTGGATATATTAGGTATAATATAAAAAATATTGTCAACCGTGTATCTTGAACATAATTTACACTTTAACGGTAAATTAAAATGACAGACGAATATCTTACCTTTATCAAGGAATGTAAATAATCAGAATCGGAATTATAAGTGTTACCATACTCGTTCTCAACTTGAAATGCGATTATCGGTCCTCCATTAGTGAATTGCAAAGGTGCTAGTATCTTAAACAGTTCTTTAAAATATCTAGATACGTATCCCAAGTAAACCTCGTCATTTGTTCGTACTTTAATGCCATCTTCACGTAAGAGCCAGGCTGGTAGTCCTTGAAATTAAAATTAAATAAATCACATAATAAATTAATCATTTATGTTGATCATTAATGTAAGCAAAATACAAGAAGAAATAAAACGCTTGGTTTATTTGAAAATAATTACATGAAATGTCTACAATTCCTAGTTTTGCAAAAGTAATAACAAAAACGACCATAAAACAGTGGGTGGCTAAAGAATGATGGAAAAATCACCAGGACAGATCCGGGCGAAACTTTTTCTGGTAGAACCCTCGCAAAACTATTGACATGATAAACATGCAAAGACAGAAAAATTTTTTAAAACTGCAGTAGGTTCACCCACAGGGTATTGCAAACTCAATAAACATTTACAACTGATGGGATTAACTGACCAAGACATAGGTAGATTTTTTCAATCAGAAGAAGTGACAGAATACATTCTATGCTAGTGCAATAGCCTGGTAATTGTTTTCCTTGTACTAGGCTATGGTAAGTCATTAGAATCATTTAGGCAGAACTTTACGCTCTCGAAAAATGCGTACAACGTATCTTAGATAAAAACTCTCGGAAGCAAAATATAGCCATCTTATCTGACAGTCAAGCAGCATTAAAAGAGATCAACTCAGTAACCTTCAATTCGAAGTTGGTTAAAGAATACCTAGAGAAGCTAGTAAGTAAAATACAAGAAGAAATAAAATGCTTGGTTTATTTGAAAATAATTACATGAAATGTCTACAATTCCTAGTTTTGCAAAAGAAATAACAAAAACGACCATAAAACAGTGGGTGGCTAAAGAATGATGGAAAAATCACCAGGACATATCCAGGCGAAACTTTTTCTGGTAGAACCCTCGCAAAACTATTGACATGATAAACATGCAAAGACAGAAAAAAATTTTAAAACTGCAGTAGGTTCACCCACAGGGTATTGCAAACTCAATAAACATTTACAACTGATGGGATTAACTGACCAAGACATAGGTAGATTTTGTCAATCAGAAGAAGTGACAGAATACATTCTATATTAGTGCAATAGCCTGGTAATTGTTTTCCTTGTACTAGGCTATGGTAAGTCATTAGAATCATTTAGGCAGAAATTTACGTTCTCGACAGATGCGTACAACGTATCTTAGATAGGAACTCTCGGAAGCAAAATATAGCCATCTTATCCGACAGTCAAGCAGCATTAAAAGAGATCAACTCAGTAACCTTCAATTCGAAGTTGGTTAAAGAATGCCTAGAGAAGCTAAACAAATTAAGCAAAGATAATATATTCTTACTACTCTAGATGCCAGCTCACCAACGCATAGAAGGCAATGGGAAAAGCTAGAATGATCTAGCTAGAAAAGGAGCAAACACCAACCGGACCAGAACCGTTCTGCTTCCCAAGTGGAAACAAACTGAAAGTGGAACTCAGGAAGATCTATTTGGGTTTGCTTTCTTGTAAATTTAATCTCCATAAATTGTTGCCATATCGTCAAGAAATTAAGTTATTTAACTAAAAACTAGACAAAAAATCATTTTTTTTTAAATTTCCAAATTCTCAAAAAAAAAAATCGCGAAAAGAATGTGACAAATGAACGCAAAAATCAAATCGATGGCAAAGAAAAATACTTAATAGCGGTCTAATAGACTCAGAGAAAGACCACCGATGCGTTGGTCCGACGACATCAAGTTGACAGCTGGATTATTTTGGATGAGGGAAGCAATGAATCGAAATAAGTGAAAATTAGTATGACGTATGTATATCCAAAAATGGATTTAAAATGGTAGTGAAGAAGAAGAAGAAGGTACATTAGAAAAGTATTGAATAAAAGAATACAAAAGCTCCATAATATTAAAAATAACTAACAGGGTGTATATAAAAAAGTTACACATCCAAGTTGGGTTTTTTGTAATGGAACACCCTATATATTAATTGATTTTCGTATTCTAGGAGAAAAATAAAGGTGATTTTTATAAGGGAAGTATATAAGGTTTTTGACATATTCAACATCTAAAACAATTTTTATATTTCAATAAAAGCTGTGCGAGACAAAATTAATATTGAACATTGGTCACCTTTAAAAGCAAATTACTCTTTTATTTTAAATGAAACACCCAGTATATTAGTTCGATATTCAATGCGGAATTTATTCATCATAATACCGTATGATCGAATAAAAACGGCGTCAACGATGGCTATGAAATGAAGATCGCTGTCATTTTATATGTAAAATTATACAGGGAATGGCATGGATCGTCATTTCCAAGCCAACTGGACGCCGTTTTTTTTTCGATCATACGGTACTATTAAGTTTGCCTACGTCTCAAACAAAGATTTTTATAGATATTTTCATTTTTATAATTTAGTGTCAGTAGAATTTAGTTTTTAACATACAATGGTTATTGTAATTAAATATCAGGCTATACAGGGTAAATTACAATTTAGGTAGCTGTTATTAAAATTACAAATATATTCTATATTTTCACAAAATGTGAATGGTGCCCGATGGCGTAGAGGTACAGGCTCTCGTCTGCCAATCTCAATGTAGTGGGTTCGAATCCCATTGCATCAGCCGACTATTTTTATTTAAAATAAAAATAGTTTGGTTATGACTATTTTTATTTAAAATAAAAATAGTTTGGGTACCTAGGTCGACTCAGCCTTAAATGAGTACTTGGGATTCACAATCCTGAGATAATAATAGGCGGTTGAAGCGTAGAGTGCTAGCCACATTACCTTCCTTGTATACCGAACGGCTCTAGTATGGCAAGCTGTACCTTGCTACTCCCAAGGCGTTAAACGCTATAGGTATACGGGAGCTATTATTATTATTATATGTCAAAATCCTGACAATTTAGGCATATGCTCCTTTAATGAAACTCACATTTATTTTTTTTTAGAATCCAAAAATCAATTAATAAATAGGGTGTTCCATTACAAAACAAAACATATTTTTAAAACTTTTTTTGGGGACACCCTGTAGAATTCTATATATTTTTATAAAATGTTTTCAATTAGTCTACATATATGCTCCTAAAATTTCATTTCGATATTAACTACCGTTCTCTTTGAAGCCTCCGCGTCGTATGAGAGGCGCCTCCCTGTAAACTGATGTGTAATTATACCTCTTTTCTCATATCAATTTAGTTTCGTCATTCTGTAGTATCATTTGAAAATGTCACAAACTTAAAGTATTAAAAGTTAGCAAAACAAACCATGTGTTTTATTTAATCTTCGATTTAATCTTATCCTTTATTTGAGTACCAATTTATTTAAAATATTAAAGATAAAAATCTTACCTCCAAATTCCCATTCAGCGCAAATATATGGTCCCGATCTGAGCAACACAAACAGGTCTTCTTCTTGGGCTATTTTTAAGAACTGTTCGACATCCAAAAAGTCCTGGAAGTCACTGCCACCCTTGCCAAAATCATACTGACCGGAGTAGAACTCGTGCAGGTTCCAAGAAACGTAGGTTTCCACAGCGTTCAAACCTGCAGCACGGATTTTCCTCAATCTGTCCCTCCAGTAGGCGCTATGTACTCGAAAATAATGGAAGGTACCACTGAATATCGTAATATTTTTTCCATTAAGTGTAAAATATGTTTGATTGGCATTTAAACCACTGCTGATACCTCCGTCGGTGTAGTATTCATAGTTCGTCGGAAGATCTTCTGAGTTGGCAGAAAGCGCTAAAGCTAAAGTACTTAAACTTAATAGAACTAAGCTATACCTGGCCATTTTCAGGTCTAAAAAACTACTAGAGTTTTTGAAATAATCACAAATAAGTATATATACGCTTCTGATAAAGTTATATCAGTAATTACCTTTTTCAGTTGACAACAACGATAATGGTAAATACTAATAATATTGGAGTAACGCACAATTCAAACATAATAGTCTTGGATTTTATTAAATCTGGAGATGTTTCCAATGATTGAAGTACTCTGTTTGTTAACATATCACTTAAAAATTGTCATGTTATTACCTCATGGTTTCCCATTGATTTTATGAAAAGCAATACCTTTTATACTTAAAAAATAATTGGAATATTTTATATATAAAATTTATTGTCATGAACAAATTCATTTCCTGAAAATAATTCTGGATTTTTGCTACTAGAAGACAAGTTCGTTTCCGTTTGGATTCAACGCAGTGGTGTGGAGAAAAAATATTGTCATACCACTATACCGGGTGTTTTTCAAATCTGACTCACCTCTATAACTTTTTTTTTCAGATAAAAAAAAGGATTTGTTACGTTAGTATAATATGACATATGTTTATATCATATGTTATATGATATAAATCAATTTTTGTCGGTCACTTCCAGTTTAATTTTTAAATGGTAGGTACCTTAGGTTTTTTTATTTTATTCGAAACTAAGAAGTTCGATATATAGAAAATGACACTCTAATGAGAGTGACATCTCATATGTCAACTTTTGACATTCTTGCTTAAAAACCGTATTTTAAAATTCAATCTAGAGTACTATGGCTGTGTTAAACGTACTCTTTTGTAATCAAGGAGCCTTGGAAAAATAGATTTGATACTCTAATGTATTTCGTGTCTTGTTCAGGCCGGTTAAAAAATGTCCAAATCATATTTTTAATTATATCTCAATTTTTTTCAAATGGAACGGGTGTGGCTAAGTAACATATTGGGATAAAGCAATTATTGCGAATAATTTGGTACTATACCGGGTGCGTCTCAAAAGTGGCTTACCCCTATAATTGTCCTATTTATTTAGATAAAACAACGATATTTTGTATGTTGGTAATATAACATAAATGAAGATTGATTGACGTATTCAATTGTTTTTGGTCACTTTCTGTTTCACTGGAAATTTTGATTTTTTAAAACAACTTTTGATTTTTAAATGGCACCCTCGGTATATTTTTACTTTATTCGATAGTAAATGATACTCTGAATAGAATGACATATCATATGTTAACTTTTGCCATTCTCGCTTAAAAAACTGTATTTTAAATTTCACTCTAGAGTGCCATGGCTGTGTTGAACACACTAATTTGTAATCAAAGAGCCTTGGCAGAATATATTTCATCGTCTAATGTATTTCGTGTTTTGTCCAGGCGAGGCGGATTAAAAGATGTCCAAATCATATTTTTAATAATTTCCCAATTGTTTTCCAATGGAACGAGGGTCAATGACATATTGGGATTTTTGCATTTTTTTAAGAAAATTTTGGTACCATATACTTGGTATTTCGAGTCAAATTGTCTTTAAATTTATGGTCGTGGCACTCTATTCAAATTTAAAATACGATTTTGAAGAATGTCAAAAGTTGACTAAATGAATTGACTTGGCTGAACAGCATTTTTATTATCTGTGTTGATACTCGATGTCTAAATTAAAAATATTATTTCATTCAAAATAATATTTCATCATTGACCTACTCTTATATTAAAGGCATTTAAAATGCAAGTTTTCGGTAGAATATGTTGGTGACAAAATTTATTTAAATATTTAAAATATTGCATGTGTATGACACTATACTATAACACGCTTTTTACTGATAAAACTAGTAGGTACCCATCGAAATTGGCAATAAAAATTGTATTGAACCATTATACTGTGTTATTTTGTAAATTAAACTTTAGATATAGGTACTAAACATAATATATTTAAATATTTATATGGTTAAAAGATTAATATATTTTGTATAAATATAGAAGGTACGGCAATAGTGCGTCGGGCATCTGTAGCTCCTAGAATAAAAAAAAAAACATGAGAATTTTGTGCAAAATCTAAAGTATGTACGAGGATGTATTTCAGTAAAACATTTTAACTTCTATAGAGTGGCTAAAAATTTTTTTTAAGTGGAACACCTTGTATGTTATTGCATTTTTGACTTGCTTTCATATCCTTTTACAAAATCGTAAGATATGAGTAAATATAATTCGATAATTTCAGAGATTCACAGAATTACCTTCAAAAAATATATATTTTTTAACCTTCCTTAAAAAACATTACTAATACAAGATAACTGCCCTGAAATCAAAACTATATTAGATATTAACTTTAGATGGTCTGTACTTACTTTGCTATAAATATCGTAATCTTAAATCATACAGGGTGTTCAAAATTCTACGCTAAACATTTTAAAATATAAAATATATTTCTTTGTTTCTTTTTAGATTGGTATAGAATTTTGAACAACCTGTATGATTTACGATTACCATATTTATAGCAAAGTAAGTACAGACTATTTAAAGTAAATACCTAATATAGTTTTGATTTCAGGGCAGTTCTTGTATTTGAAAAAAAAAATAAAAGAGACTGAAAAATATATATTTTTTTAATTATTATTTATTAATCTTACCTGAAACTATCAACATATTTAATAATACCTTAAGATTATGTAAAAATTTAAAAAAATCATACCGATCCATTTTCACTTTTTTGAGCCACCCTATAGAAGTTAAAATATTTTCCTAAAATACATCTTAGTACATACTTTAGGTTTGCATTTAAACAAAGTTTCCAAGATTTTTATTCTAGGAGCTACAGATGCCCGACGCACAATTATTGCCGAACCTAAATATACATAACGCAACATTTGTACTGTATAGTCTGTATAATTTATATTTGTCTTACGAATACGATCAAGGAGGCTATATATCCATATATTATACTGTTTAACTTTTAATATTTTTTTTTATTTTACAAAATTTTCGTATCATATGTTAAGAGTTATAAGTTATAACCAATTGCCCTGTCACACATATTATTCTGAAATATTGAAACATTTAATATATTTTAATATGTGACTATACTTTATTAATCAACATCCTAAGTATGCATGTAGCTACTTCTGATAAAGTTAATAATTACATTTTTTTAGTTGTACAGGGCGTCCCTGATGCGATGGTGGGTGGCTTTGGTATATATATATCGGTAAGGCAGTTCAGGAAATATACTCAGGAATGTACTTGTTGAAGAGAATGTTGGTTAGTAAAATAATTTTCAAATATAGAGCCACTAAGAAGTTGGTTTGTGTTTGAATTCTAACCCAATAGCATAGCATAGATCAAATTATTACTTTTTGTTTTTTTTGTTTATTTGATTATGCAGATATTCGGAATTGTATTCGGCAAACTTGGGTAGCATATTCTGCAGATGAAAAAAGTTCGTATAAATTTATGTCCTAAAATGAGTGATGGGAAAAACCGATTAATTTCATTAATCTAGTACCCGAGTTTCAAGCGATTGCAATAACCGAGTGATCGCTCGAGTGAAATATCACTCGTATTTAAAAAAATGGTTTTTCACCCGTCGCTTGTTGTAAGTACTCGTTAACGCCAAGCGCCAAGCAGTAAGTTGCGTGCTATTATGCAGTAAGTTGCGTGCACATATTCTTTCAGTGATGAATGGCAAGTAGCAAGCGGTGAGCGATTCGCTTGATTTAGTTTATTTCGAAGCATTGTCGATGTAGGTCGTAAAATTTTGTCCCTCAGATACGCAACGGATAAATATATATACGGCGTCGTATAAATTTGCTACCTGCAAAAGTTTTCAAATTTTTCATTTCAGTCACCCAGGTTTATCTTTTCTTAATAATGACATGTATCGACTATTTCCATTCTAAATATCTTGAGAACGGTTGTTCGTAAAGATTTTTACAATGAGACATTTTTTACGTAAAAATGATGAAAATGTGTGTATATTTTTTATTTAGTAGTTTTATACAGGTACGCCCGAAATGTTATTACTCTTCAAAACAGTTAAAAACCATGTAGTTGGCGTCTCCTTGTAGTAGGAGTCATATTGACATCGCAATAAAATTTCTAAAACCGAAATAAAAATGAAACTGCTACACCCTGTATATCCAAAACGAAGCCATTGCGGGACATAATTTTATCCAAACTTTTTTACTTATTTTTATCTGCACAATATGCTGCCGAAGTCTCCCGAATACAATTTCGACCACCCTGTATATAATAATATAATATAAAATAAAATAAAGTAAAAAATAATAATGGGCGCAAAAATTGATACTACCATTTCGTTCAAAAGCAAATTTTAATACATCTTCCCTCAAAGTCAGAGAATATTCAAAGAGGGTTCAGATATTATCATTTGTATTCAGTTTATTCTTTTATTTTTATTTTTATATAATGTATAAGGGGTAGCTGTTTACGCCACGTTTCAAGAATTTAATTTTTGCAATATTTTGTGTTTCCGAAACTATGAAGATTACTTTTGAATTTGGCACACTCTGTACAACCTTAATAAATATATAGATAAATACAAAAATACTGGAATTAAATAATTCAGAACATACTCGTCTTGTATTTTTATTACATCGATGTATTTATCATCCACTTAAGTACTTTGTGTGAAGTTATTAACATTATAACACTTATAATATGCTCTGTTATCACTTGATGGTTTCCCATATCTGATCTTGTGAGAACGTAATGTTGCTGGATGCCTTGTAATGCTCGAAAATTACTATGGTGTTTTGCCCTTTGTTTATTAGAGGGGCTGGTAAGTAAAGGCACTGTTGTGGTCCAATTCTTGCATATCTTCCAAGGACAAAACCATTAATAGTTACTATTCCTTTGGTCCATTGTCGCATATCTATATAGGTGTCTTGTGGGTCATCGGTAATATAGATATACCCTTAAAATATAAATGATTTAAAATGAAGAGTGATATCTAATAGTTATTTATAATATATGTGCTAAAATCATATTTTCTATATTTTCAAACAAAAAAAATGACATTTAGCAAGATTATCATAGATGCACGTTTTTCTACAAAGCCTATTTGTAGAAGTCTAAATACATTCATTTTTCAGTTACAAAATAGATAAAATATTTTCGAATATGTATTTTATACAAGTAAATATTTTTTTATAGTTTATGCTTAAACTAATTTTTTATAGGATAACAAAAATTTGGAATATGTTGAGATTTGCCTTTGTTGGACCCGTCTCAATAATCACGATAAAATGAAAAATGATTAAAAAAAATAAATAAAGAAAAAGAAAAGAAAATTTAAGAAGATTTACAAAACTGAAAAAAAATTAAAGATGTTAGTAAAGGTAATTTTGAAATTTATGAGAAAAAAACTTAAAGATTATGGAAAAAAAACTTAGAGAAACGACATAAATTTTAAAACGTATTTCTCCTCTTTTAATATTTTCTTATCCGTTATAAAAGTCAATCAATTTTGTGATAACACAAGTGATGCACTATTTACACTTATGTAGAAGTTAAATACATTACTTTTTAACACCAGTATTTTAAAATTATTTTTTTCACAAAAATATTAATTTTTAAGGCGTCATTGACGTTAAAAAAAATTAATTTTAACATCTAGTCACAAAAGTACAAAAATAATAACATAATATTAGTAAATTGACATTAAATGTCAAATTCAATGAGTATAACCATAGTTTCTCGGTATATAATTACTAACAAGGTAATATTTTGTATATTATTTGCAATGTTTGAAATTGTTCAAAAAATTATTTGATAATTTTGAAAAAAGGATATCACGTTCTATTTGGAGTTTGGAGTAAAAATAATTTTTGTAACTCGGCTGTTATGTAAAACAAGGGTAAAACGTACGAAAACTATCATTTTTACTCTTAATAAAACAATATACTACCGTATGAACGAAAAAAAAGACGTCCCGTTAGCTTGGAAATGACGATCGACATTCCTCATTTAATTTTACATATAAAATGACAGCGATATTCATTTCATAACCATCGCTAACACTGATTCTTTTCGATCATATTGTATTTAGATACGGCATTTTTATCATTTGCTAACGATTTAGAAAATTATTTTTTTACCTCTGTAGAGACCCGGTCCTGTAGTGCTTCCAATCTTTTGCCATCCATGTAGGGAATTCGTCCAAGATTTTTTAAACTCTAGTGGAATATGCTCCCAGTTGCTTATGTTGACATTGTTAATTAAAACATTACCTTGCCACAATCCTAATGTAGAAACATATCAGTGAATCATTACTGTTAATAAAACATATTCTTTGTATTGTATTAGATAAATGCTGGTCTCTGTAAAGTTGTGAATACTCAAATATTACAGCTAATAAAATACTTGCATATTAATATTTTCATAAAAATACTAGATACATGTAAAAGGTATATATTACGAGTATGTATGGATCACAACTAAACTTGTCAGTGCTACGGAAATCTTTCTTTGTCTATTAATATCAATTATATTTCTCATCACTCCATAATTGCGATCTACAAACTGTACGCTCAAAAAGTCAAAATCAGTTAAAACTCTTTTAATGTAATTTCAAATAAGGATTATTGAAATATACACAAGTTGAAACAAGTTATTAACATTATATAACACTTATAATATGTTCTGTTATCACTTGATGGTTTCCCATATTTGATCTTGTGAAAACGTAATGTTACTTGATGCCTTGTAATGCTCGAAAATTGTGCGTATGCGATTTTCTGTCTGCAATTTGGCAAAACTTATTGATCATGTTGTATTTTAAAATAGGTAATTATTAATATGGCTTGTATTTTGAAAATCTGTAATGCTGTAATACACTGTTTATACAATGTTGTCTTTATTTTTGATGGTCAATTTAATAAGATTAATAAAATTACTTCGCAACTTTTATTCGTGCTCAAATTTTTTTTTTTTTTTTAATTTTTTCGTTTTAGAAATAAAGTTTCATTTAGCACCTCTTCAATTAACATAGAAGTTTGTTGCTCTAATTTGAATGTAAGCATTCAGAACGTCAAAATTAGTGGTAGGAATTTTCAATTAGTGGAAAAGTTACCAAACTTTTAACTTTTCCATTAATTATACTTCAAAATTTGCGAAAAATGTCATTTTGGCCTTTGATTATTATCCGTGAAGGGAAAATGCGGTTAGAAATCATCCGAGTTTATTGTTTTATAAGCTAAATATTCGGCTTTCTCTATGGATACAACTGATTACCGCAAGCAGTTGCTAATTTATTCTATTAATTTTAATTTTGTTTTTTAGACATCGTGAATGATCGTAAACTTAAAAGTATAGAGTGTAATTGAAACCACTAATTTTTTCCACTAATTTCGAGGTTCTCAATGAAGCTTTAGACCATACAATTTATATATTATCGTAACTATTACCAAAATCATAAAGCAGATTATTCTATAGATGGAAGAAACTTGTTAAAGCATTATTTTGTGTTTACCTTTATACTGATAGTACTGGGATAGCTTTCCATAGTTAACCCTTCCCCAATTTTCCACTACCAAATCTACAGTGGCATCTTGTACATCCTCCGTCGTCAAAGTGATCTGAGAGTTTGACAGACGCCAGAACCCGAAATTGTTGAAATCTAGTGCCGAAGTAAGTATAGGGGATATCAGTTGGCCGTTGACAAAGACCAATACTGAGTCGCAAACGTGGCCCTCAATGGTTAAGATGTCGCCCTTTGTTAAGTTTAGATTCGACTTTCTGTAGGCGGTATATCCGTAACTTTGCCCAGTGCCGTTGTTGATGTCAAGCAGCTCCATAGCAATTGGTTGTGAGTAATACTGTTTAATATCTTGAGAATCTGAAATAAAAACAAATAATAATAATGCATTTCTAGTAGAATCGTCTATTTCGCCACAGCATTGACCAAAGAGTCGAAAGAATGGGTATACAAAGTTGCAGAGGCTAACATTTTGAATAAGTTTCCTAAAAAATATTAATCATTATTGTCAATGAATTCATCATCATTAAGACTGACGGATCCACTATCGGACATAGGGCTAATATCCAAATGATTTTAATACTCGTTAAGTCATCTGGCCCTCTAATAGGAAATGTTTCTCTATTTCTAAAAGCTTCGAATCTGGAACGCCATTGTAAGATCACCAAAATTTCTAGTTTCTATGTCTGTTTATTGAAAAAAATCAAGCATGAAACAAAACAGTCAAAAAATAAAAACAAATTCAAAAAATTAAAATTTGCAAAACGTTTGACATTTTTACAAGATCCGTTCCGTATCTAATAGATATTTTTCAGAAACTGATCCATACAGCAGATTATAATCTACTGTATGGATATTAAGCTGGTAAAAAGATATTATTAAGCTGGTAAACTGGTTTTAAAACGGGATAAAGCCTCATAGGTAAATTATATTTTCTGTCATTTTTTGCATGTCATCTGTTGAAATCCTCGGTGGCTCGCTGGATTACATTATATAGTACTACAGTTTGACTACATAATATAATGATTAATACATTGAAATTCAGTGAATAATAAAATGAATAGTTATTATCCTATTATCACTCATGTTATTTTTTCTGGACTGCCCGCTGCACATACATCTAACTATATCTGCTTCTAAAACTTCATTCAGAACATTGAACAATCAATTAGTGGAATAGACTATAACACTGAAATTATATAACCACTAATCGGTGGTTATCTAATTTCAATGTTATCACAACATAACCTAACCACTAATCAGTGGTTATCTAATTTCAGTGTTAGCATTTAGAACTGCCGAACAGAAATGCTAAACACATATACCTGGGCATACGAGGCTTTGGGACTTAAGCTGAACATCGATAAAACTAAAATCATGTGCACTCCCTCGAAAAATCATAACAATGCTATAAAAATCGGAGAAGAATTATTGGAATATATAGCGGAATTAAATTACCTCGGCAGTTTGATTTCGGCCAATATCGACTCTAAAATTCAGCACAGAATTAGCAGCGCCTCTAGAGCATTCTGGAAATTAAAAGACAGGGGATTTTATAAGCATGACTTGAGCACAAAAACGAAACGTGCTGTTTACCGAGCAATAATATTCCCCACCATGTTCTATGGCGCGCCGTACCGTTGGCACATGAACGCATTGTTGAAGTTGCAACAGCGACACATCTGTCTCATTCTAACCTGTTTAGAATCAAATGGTACCATTATATCTAAAATGTATCAATCATGATTACTAAATCCCGCTTAAGATGGACTGGTCACGTATGCAGGATGCAGGAAAACCGCGTACCGAAATCTCTTCTTTACGGTGAGCTTGTAGGCGGTAAGGGTCTTGGAAAAGAGCTTGTAGAGGGAAACTGGGTGGACAACTCAAAAGGTACAAGGATATTTTCCCTGAAAACTTTAAGGGGATAAGCATGCAGAATTAGTGGGAGCAAGCAGCGCACAATAGAGCGCAATGGAGAAGAATTGTAAACTCAGTTAACAACGACAACCGAAAAGTAAGGAGGAAACAAAGTAATGAGAATTTCGCATGTCCTGAGTGCGGAAAACAAATAACATCACGTATAGGGCATTTCAGTAAGAGAAAAGCTCGTCACAGAAAACGCCTTGCGTAACCATCTTCTGATGCGTGTCAAATAGTCGTCAGCGAGTAATGGCAGTAAGTAAGTTAAGAGAATAGTCATATACAATAATCTGTCCAGCGAAAGATTATATAATATTGCATACTAAAGTCGTCAATCGATTTAATTTAAAAGTGGACGATTTCTTTTCTTTTCTTTAATCATTATATATTTTTTCGCTAAAAGATTATACATTTTTATTTTATTAAATTACCTTACTTACCAATTAAAGATTTCAATGGTATATGTTCCACTAGAGAAATATTTGGATAAGCCACACGTGGTACTAGATCAGGTTCTGCAGGGAGTTTTGTTTGAGGATTAATATATTTATTTAGAAGTATTTTAATCAGGTTGTATTTGGAAGTATAATCTCCTGCTTCGGTTAAGGGCGAGTCATAATCGTAGCTGGTTGTATCTGCAATCAAAAATAAAAAATTAATATTATTATTATATTAATTATACTTCAGAAAAATCGTTAAATAATATATAATTAAATCTAGGGATAATCATCCTTTTCAGCTCAACTAAATCGGTTTTACTTCAAATACCGTATGATCGAAAAAAAAACGGCGTCAGCAATGGCTATGAAATGAAGATCGCTGTCATTTTATATGTACAATTATATAGGGAATGTATAATAGGGAATGTCAATAATCGTCATTTCCAAGCCAACTGGATGCCGCTTATTTTCGATCATACGGTACAAGAAACGTGTGCAACCCAGCACCATTCGGAAGGAGATGAGGTAGGTTTTCGTTCTGTCATAATTTGTATTTAATATATTTTTATATGATATTCTAAGGAGAACAACTTTCAAGAAATATCGTGGAAGATAGTAGATTAACTCCCATGTTGGAGGATCTGAGTTATGCAGACGACATCTGTCTCCTTTCTCATAGTTCATAGTCACGGAAGATCAATATTAAAAAACCTAAATCGATAAGGGTCTGTACTCCTAGTGTATCTCCCTTTATCATTGGAACAAAATCTATAGAAGACGTAAATAATTATACTTACTTGGGTAGTATAATCTCAACCAACAGTGGCAGAGTGGCTGAGGTAGACTAAGTTATCATTAAGAAAATAAACAAGGCCAGAATACCATTTGTAATGCTAAACAATCTTTGGAGATCTAGACCGTACTCTCAACTTACCAAACTTAAAATTAGCTACTCAAATACCAAGTCGGTATTGCTGTATGATGTATAGAGTAGGAAAATTACACCGGTTTTAATTAACAAAATCCAAGTATTCATAAACCAAGCCTTTCATAGCATTCATGGCCAAGCATTATTACAACACAACGCACGAAAACACTTTACTTTTGCACAGGACGCGTGTTTCTCTAACTATGTTAGCATCATCAGCAGATGATTAAAACTGCGTCCATGTTGTTAATCATCTGATGATTGAGCGAATGATGGCTAGAGAAACGCGGGTCCAGTGCAAAAGTAAAGTGTTTCGGCGTATTGTGGTAAATTAGTAGTTTATTTTGCTGTTGTAACCCCAAAGCTTCCAACACCCAACTATAATCTAGAAATGAGGATTTATGGAGTTTAATAATACACCAATAAAGAGGATACTGATATTAAACTGACGAAATGAAGTTAGATTGGTCAAACTTGGTGGTCAAACAAGCGGCAACAACATCAGAGCTATTCAGTGGAATCCACGAGGAAGGAAAATATTTAGTCGTCCCAACACACGTGGCAAAGAACAGTTAAATTGATTTGAACAATCGAACCCCATTGGGAGCATTTACTGAAGACATATTCTACATAAAAAAAAAGATTCATCGTTCATATCCAATTGCTATTAACCTCTAGCAATTGGATATAAATGATGATTATTTTTTATAATCACGTATGCTGTGCATCATGACAGAAAAGTAATTTTTATCTGAGAAATTATATTAGAATCTTTATAACTGTAATAATCAAAACTCACTTGATACCTTTCATGTATACATGTGTCCTTTAAGCCTTTTAAGTAGTGTCCTTTAAGACTTTTTCAAATCCAAAAATATTTTGTTTTATCTACTACTACAAATATTCTATTACTTATACGACAAAAACATAGGGATGTCAGCAAAATTGGTAGTGATTAATATGAAAGTTTAAACTAACCTGGTTGGTATCCACTATTGTCAGCTAGTGCGTTGTCTACATTTGCTCCGTTCATAAAGCCAAAACTAGTGCCGCCGTGAAACATATAGATGTTAAACGATCCAGGATAAGTTATGATGGTTTCTAAGTTCTTTATTAATTCCAGCTCATCTCCCGTATGATGCTCCTCCCCCCAGTGATCGAACCATCCAGGGTAGTATTCCATAGCCATTTTCGATCTGTTTGGTTGTATGCTTTGTAGCGTATCAAAAGAACTTTTTGGATCATCTGGAAGAGACGATATATTATTAGAATTTACAGATTATGTGCAGTAGAATTTGCCAAAAGCGCTAATTTAAAGCTACGACAAATTGTAGTAATCAAAAGAAAGAATAGTGAATTATAAATGCATGACAAAAAGAAAGTAAAACACTAATTCACTAAAATACAGCAAAATTTCTTATTTGACATCGAACGTCTCTTTCATCAAATTTTCAAAATTTGTGCCGCGCGAAGTAAATTTGCAATATTATTTATTTGTATCAGATAATGATAATCTGATAATGCTGATGCTCATGCATCAACAAAAACTCCAATCGCAAGCAAGAGATGGTCGCAATTCAATCGTGTCACTGTTGACACTGTGGTTTCATATGCAGGCACTCTAATCATATTAGTGTCATGAGGAGATGATTAAAAGTACTAATTAGTAGACAGTTGTGCAGTGTTGATGCTAACATATAGTTCATATCAAATAAAATTTTAGTCACGTGATTAAGCTTGACCGACACAGCGTTGCCCATATTTTCTTTTAACCAAAATATTTTAGGAAATAAAATTAAATTAATTATTAACTCACTTTTAAGGGACATAAAAGGCCATTACTACCGATTTTCCGTTCAAAATATTCCAATAAAATTGCGATTTTTACGGCTATTAAGCTATTTTGTACACTTCGCACTAAAAGAGGTTCTAAAAAGAACAATGTTCGACTGCAAGGTCTGCTAGTAAAATTTTTTAAGCTTAATATATCACAACATAATTAATTTAAACCAAAAACTTGTAATACAAATCTACAGTGTCAAAACGAATGACAATGCCAGAAAATAAATAAATAAATGTGGCAAGATTTACCACCTAAATCCCCAGCGGGAAATTTAAATTCCAGTTAGTCAGCACGGTGCCGAATATGTCCATAGTTGGCAACAATGAATTTAAAAATTGCGCCCTCGATTACGTAACTAAAAGTTTAATTAGTATCAAATATAGTTACAGACATGCTTCTCGTGTTTATAGTAAGGTATTTTGGTGAATTTCGGTAAATTAGTGTTTTATTTTGCTGTTATAATATTGAATATTGATAATATATGATATTGTTAAATAACGCTAAGTTTTCAACTTCAAATGTATTATAATAACAAGAATATGTGGAAAAAAATTATATAAACATTTAATATATTCAAATATATTTTTCAAATATATATTTTATACAGTATGTCCGCGGGTTTTCTTTACTTTTCTTAACGAGTGGCAAAACTTTTTTATTATTGATATTATGAGAAAAATCCGTTTTTAATTAAAGTCATATTTTTTGCTGTTATGTTAAAATGTTAAAGAAGCACAAAATTTATTTAGTTTAATGCTACGGAAAGGGTGATAATAGTTATCGGAATATACGTGATACTTTAAATTTCAAAATTAATAATAACCATCTATCAAAGAATGAAATCGAAATTATATTACAATAAAACGCCTCTTGATTTTTAAGACTTCAAAATTCAGCTATATTTTCATGTTTTTTTTTTAATTTTCTCTAAAATGGTATGAAAATTTGTAAAAGTATAAACGGCATTGTAGAACAAGAGAGAACAAAATGGCAAAAATCAAGCAAAAACGACAAGAACAACAAAAATTTTATGAAGAATGCATTTTTCCCAAAATGACAATAATAAAAAGGTTTTCCTCTTGTAAAGACAATCCGGGGACATACTGTCTATTGTATATAGCTTCTTTGTTCCGTCCATTGAAATAATTTTATAATATATGAATCACATTCATAATATATGAAAATAACTAGCCTGTACCCGCGACTTCGTTCGCGTCGAATTAATAATTTGTAATGGCGATGATAAAGCAAAGCAAGAATTTCCATTAACATACAAACTGGATAAAATTATTTCACATTTATGTCAGCATGAGAAAAAACAATATGGCGATATTATTATATAACTTGGTAATATTTGAGGGGTAGTTTCTCGTTGGAATTTGGCTTTCGAAAAATCCGTTTGCCAAAAATAAGCTTTTTACGTCAAGCAGTTTAAACAGAATCATGGTTAATCATTTACCCAACTTTTTGGAACACCCTGTGTGATTTTTTAAAAATTTCAAAATATGTAAAAAAACAAAATAAATTATGTATGTCCAAGCGTTTCCCCGAAAGACTAACCGTTTTTTAAATAACAAATATTGTAATATTTGAAGGGCGTTTTCACCCTCTTGGAATTTGAGATTCGAGAAACCCCCCTTATTGAACCTCTACACCCCACAGTTAATCCGTTTGCCAAAAACCAGCTTTAAACGTCAAGCAGTTTAAGCAGAATCGTGATTACTCAATGGTCATATTTTATGAAACACCATGTATACATTTTTAAAAAATCTTAAAATATGTAAAACAACAAAATAAAATATACGTGTTTAAGAGTTTTTCCGAAAAACTCGCCGGTTTTTAAATAAAAAATATTCTAATATTTGAGGGGTGGTTTCACCCCCCTTAGAATTTGAGTTTCGAAAAATCCCTTCTTATCGAACCTCTACACTCTAAAGTCAATCCGTTTTCCAAAAATCAGCTTTTTACGTCAAGCGCTTTAAGCAGGATCGTGATTAATCAATGACCAGATTTTTCGAAACACCCTAAATACATTTTAAAAAAATCTTAAAATATATAAAAAAAACAAAATTAAATATACGTGTTTAAGCGTTTTTTCGGAAACATGACCGTTTTTTAAATAAAAAATATTGTAATATTTGAGGAGTTGTTTCACCCCCTTGGAAATGGAATTTCGAGAAATCCCTTCTTATCGAACCTCTACACCCTAGAATCAACCTGTATGCGAAAATTGAGCTTCTTACGTTGAGTGGTTTGAGCAGGATCGTGATTAATCAGTGAGTCAGTCTTAAGGATTTTATATATTATAGTATAGATATATCGAATTTGCTCCATATTTCTTAAATGAAACGCATTAGCAGCAAAGATTATTAGAATATCTAACCTCCAAAATTAGCTGTAACAAGGAACAACCTCGGTATAGTACCAGCTGTTCCAAAAGATGTCACGCCATCAGCTGTTGACAATAGTTCGGTAATATTATTATCAAGATAAAGTTGTCGAAGTTCTCTTAAATACGTTTTATCCGGAGTAAATTGGGGTAGTCTGCGGTAATTTGATGTTTTGGTACTACCGTATTCGTTTTCCACCTGAAACATGATTATTGGGCCGCCATTAATGAACTGGAGTGCAGCTAATATAGGGAGTAACGCACTGAAAAATCTGAAAGGAAATATTAATAGATAAGCAAATAAATATATCCTATATGGGTAATTCGTCTCTGCAAAAAATCTACAAAATAAAATAGTTATTTTTTGTAAACACTGCTCTGTTAATAACTACTTGTCAGCAGTTAGGTTTACTGATAAAAAAAATTTGCCTAACGAACCAAAAAATGCTTAAGGTTTCGGAAAGTTTATCTCTTTCCGTCGTCGGAAGCAAAAAAGAATACAAAGAATAAAGAAAAAACTCTTTAAAGTATTTAAATGCAACTATTCGTGAATACTTTAGTTTTTTTTAACAGATACGTCTACAAAAACCGTTGACGTTCTGTTAAAATGACATTATATCAAGTTAAACTTCAAAATTAACAATTACTACCTGCTAACAATTACTTCATAAGGTAAAACCAAAAATTCCCAAACTTATTAGATTGTATTAAAAAAGCTTCTTTTATTTTTCTTTTAGAGGCTGAAAGAAGAAATACAAAGAAGCGATAGTCTCTAAAAGAAAAATAAATGGGGCTTTTTTAATACAATCTAATAAAAATAAATGTATTGCTCATGCATCTGTAGGTGTTAGTAATGTATGGCAATCGCTTCTTTGATTTTAAAGAACATAACATAAATAAACATTTGTAAAAATTAAAAATAAATTAAAAATAATCATACAAAAAGTTTGAGGCTTTTTGGTTTTACCTTATGAAGTAATTGGTATCATTATCAGGTATTAATTGTTAATTTTGAAGTTTAGCTTGGTATAATGTCATTTTAAGAGAACGTCAACAGTTCATCTGTAAAAAAAAAAATCTAAAGTGTATTGGAATAGTTACATTTAAATATTTTATTTTTTTTTTAGTTTAACCAAACTCTTCCGACTGCAACCCCACTAGTTCCAAGATTTTCTTTCTCACTAGTCACAGTAGTCAGTCGATACTACTGTCTGCTTTTTAAATATTTTATATAGTTTTTTATTCTTTGTATTTTTTTGCTTAAGCATTCTTTTGTTCGTTAGGCAAATTTGTTTATCAGTAAACCTAACTGCTGACAAGTTAGTTTCCGTTGGATTAACGCAGCAGTGTTTACAAAAAATAACTATTTTATTTTGTAGGTTTTCTTGCAGTGGCGAAATACCCATATAGGATTTTTTTGAAGAGATGAATCCGCTACATAGGTATATACATTTTTTTAAATAAGATATAAAGGTAGTTTATTGGTTTCAAACACCATAATCATTCTCATTTTATTTACATATAAATTGTATTGTATTCTATAAACATAAACATATAATACTTAAAAAAATACATATCATCTTTACACAAGAGTGATAAGCGACGTAGGTACTGCGTATTTGGATTTGAAAGTTAAGATATTTGTCGTAATCAATTAATAAAAATCAGAATTTCATAGATGCAATTGTATCTTAGTTCATCTAGCTAATGCTGGAATTATTATTTGCTTTGTATGAAACTTGCTTTATACGATAGGTTGTAGTCCACTAGTCAAATAATACAATTGGACTTCTATTGAAAGATATTATCTAGTAATATTCAGGAAGGTGATTTATTGAAAATTGAAAAAAGAACATTGAAATATTTTACGAAATAAAAGTAAAACATATAGAGGGTGTTCCAATATTTATTTTTTACCTCTATACAAAACTGCTTCATTTATCCGTTAGAGGGCCAACCTTTAAAGAAATAAACAAATTTCTCTAACGAACAAACAAGGCACTTTTGTATAAAGGTAAATTTTTATTCAAAATATACGTAGTTGTTCTATATCCATGGAATATTGGAACTCCCTGTATAATTGATAGGCCTGCTTTGGAAATATAAATTCTCCAGAAAAAAATATCTCAAAAATTATGCAACATGGCGTTTTTTTACAAGAGACAAAATATGTAGTAAATACTACTCGTGTGAAGTTGGCACTTTTTTCAAAAAATGAACTGGAATTTGAGAGTTCTGGATAGATTTACAATAGTTCTATAGTTCTTGATAAGTTAGAAAAATAGTTCTGGTTAATTTCGGGAGATATGACATGGGGGTGCCAACTTCACGTAGAACCCTTTTTTTATTCTGGAACAGTTCTGATAGTGGAAATATATTCTAGAACAACAGTTCTATAGTTCCTGACTATTGATCAAAATAGTTCTATTGTATTAACCAAGTTATGAACAAAAATAAAACGGCAGCCTGCGCAGTTTAAATCGATTTTCTAGGTAAAAAATGATTTAAAAAATAGATATACAAATCTCGTTATTAGTTAGGTTAGTTAGTTATTTTCTTTTTGTTGCTGTCCAAAAAAAAGAACTCTTTTGTAACATAATGCATGTTCTAACTAAAATAGTATATGGTGTTTGACATCACTATCTTCTATGCTAACACTATCATAGTATACCTTTTAACTGCACTCATGTACTTATCATCCGAAGTTCTGAATTGAATTCCTTTTTCCCTTAAAAGCCAACTTGGAAATCCTCCAAATTCCCATTCAGCACAAATATATGGTCCGGGACGTAAAATAGCAAATAAGTCTTCTTCTTGAGCGGTTTTAAGAAAAAGTTCAATGTCTAAGAAGTCCTGCATATCAGTACCTCCCTGGCCAAAGTCAAAAACACCTTAAAATTGATTGGGTATTAGTTAAGGATCACAGCTTAATTAGTACCTTAATTAGCAGGTCATTTTAACTTGTTTTTGACTATCCGCATGTGCACAAAGTCTATTTCCAACTGCATATCTGCAGTCAGAGCCTAAGCCTAGTCTAACCTAACCTAACCAGTCTCAATCAGTATTAAATAGAGATATTTCAGTATAGATAATAGAGATTTCGCATAAAAAACTGATGAAACTGATGGTCTGACTTGTCTGAACAGGCAAACTGCAAAAAAAACTCTGTATACCTTGGTAGTACATACATAATATTTTGAAATCTGTTTAATTTATCTGTCTTAAATAAGTGCAAACATTTTCAAGGCTGGTAGATCTCAATAAAAGAAACATTCCCTTTCTCCATTTTTCAAATAAGACCAAAATAACCCAGTTATTTTAATTTGAAAAGTTCCAAAAAAGAATATTTTTTTGGCTTAATTTTGAGAACAAGTGGATTTTTTTTCTGTGTTTTCTTTCTTGTAAATTTAATCTACTACCTATGTTGGCATATTATCAGGAAATTGTGTTTGTTAATTAAAAACTAAAAAAAATGAGGTTTTTTTCGCGATATTTTTTTTGGAAAGTTTGGAATTTTTTAAAAAAATTTTTTTTGAAAATTTAGAAATTTTCGTTTTTGGTTAAAAAACGTAATTTCTTGATAATATGGTAACTTAGACAGTGGACTAAATTTACAAGAAAGAAAACCCAGAGAAGTCCCAGTGGTTCTCAAAATTTAAGGAAAAAATCTTTTATTTTTGGAAATTTTCATTTTCCCTTGGATTTATTTGAAAAACGGTAAAGAGAAAATGTGTTTCTTTTATGGAGATCTAACAACCCTGAAAATATGCACTTATTTAAGACTCACCATGTATATTTTCTATGTAGAAAGCGCCTATAGTAAAAATCTTATAAAATATGCAAGAATCTTGCAACAAGACCGAATTTTCGAATATAATTTTCAGTTTTCCAGTATCATAAAGAGGAAAATATTTTAAAAAGGAAGCAAAACCTTGATGTATTAGAAAATAATACATTTTTGATTCTTAATTAGCGAATTCTTTGATCTTTGGCGAGTTCAGTTTTTGAAAAAAGACTGTTGAATTTTTATACGTATATTAAGAGACAAGTTTTTAGACGATTATTAAAAACTAAAACGAAAAGAGATGTGACCCCTAGAAAGTTTACAATCAAAGTTTCCAATTTAAGTCTTTTATCTATGATTTGCAATCAAATCAAATTGATTTATGACTCTTTGACATCTAATCTTTGACAAGTGGTAAATAAAAGCAAAAATGCAAGAAAAATATATAATTAGTTAATTTAGAGTGAATTTCATAAATGATCGGTTTACTATACGCATGTATATTATATAGTCACTTACTTAGCGAAAAGTTATTCCATTATTTCCCTCGATTTTTGACCGATATCTACCGCACGTTACACAACCAACTAATTTACAGTCTTTTTCGATAAATCGCATTAGTGTCACTGTTAATTTAAGTTCTTCTAGATTTATTACCTTTAAACAACTATCAGTAGAATAAATAATAAACAACATAAAATAAGATCAGTAAAGACTAAAATATCCACAAAATTTCAAATCAAATTCAAACGTGTCAAATGAATCGTCAAACAGAACTGTCAAGGATCCCCACCCTAGGGCCCTTTGTCCGTCTACCTTGCATGAATAATCTTCCTTAATTTTTTTATTCAAAGTTTATTTTCTATATATTTTTATTTTTGATTTTATATATAAAAATTCTTCTAAAATGGCATAAAAAATATATAAAACTAAAACTAAGGAACAAAAAAATACACCAAATAAATATGGACAACTCAACCAAATATTTAATGCCCGATTTTTTTTGAAATACCGAAGTTTGCCGCCAAATAAGAATTTCTGGACTTTTTACTAACTGGGAATTTATCCTTACCTGGACTAGGTTCATGTAGGTTCCAGGGTACATAAGTTTCCACAGCGTTTAGCCCAGCGGCTCTCATCTTTCTTAATCGATCTCTCCATAACTGCTTAGGCGTTCTAAAGTAGTGCATCGCACCAGAATACAAACTAATATTTCTCTCATTTAGAGTAAAGAATCTCTGATTTGAATTTAGGCCAGTTTTGATACCTCCCGTCGTATAATACTCATATAATGTCGGAAGGGTTGCTTGCGCTTCAAACGGTTGAACATGCATTTTGATAAAAAAAAACCTACAAGCAACAAAGTTCTTAAAAATCAATAAACAACAAATATTAATAAGAAAAAAAAACATTTACCTTAGTATAATATGTTGTACAGTTGCATTAATATATATATGTCACCAAATGACACTACTAATAATAAACATAAACTCGTTAAGCTGACTAAGCGTGTCAATTATATTCAAAGTTTCATTTATCAGAAAAAAATAAACTGGAATCCATTAAATAATCTTTTGTTATTCAAATTTCTGTGTATTTAAAGCGCGTTTTCAACAATTTCTATTGTTTCTAAGTGGATCGATCAAGTTGATATAACACTCGACATTAGAAATACGAAATATTTTCGGTTTAGATTCTTATATTGTTTATATTGTATTAATTTTGGCAGTCATAATAGACTGTATAATTTAATTTAGTATCTACCGCAGACTGAAGAGTGAAAGATACGTGAACTTTGTCTTCTTATTATTCACTTTGTTTTGGACAGAGCCGTTAGATCAGCGGCGTGTAGATATTTTATTTATTACTAGAGATGAGTAAAAATGCGATATTCCAATCGCAGTTGAAAGTACCATTGGGATTTTAAAGTCGCTGCGATTGCGATTTTAATATCTTGCAATTGCAATTTTAATATTTAAATATTCAAATATTGTACTAAGTATAAGACATTTTAAAACATTTTCCGATGCACGTCATCAACTTTGAGTGACAAGCGATGCCGACAGCGCTGCCAGATTGTGATGGATTTATGAGATGAATTTTAATTTAAAAGTGACAAACAATATAGATGATATACTTTGATAATAATCATTTGATGATAATCATTTTTATATATATTTTTTTTTAAGGCAGCAGCTACCCGCTACAAATTGAAAAAAGTAGAAATAACTTGAAAGTGGTATGGTTACCAATCAATCTTACTTCTCTGACTGCATTCAAGGGTAATAAAGGACTTTTATTGTCACGTTAGCCCTCAAAATATTTTATCAGTGAAGCTACAAGCGCTTTGCTTTGAGTGTTTAAAGGCTTCGGCATATTTTCAACCCACAATTTCAAAAATTTTTGTGCTTAGAAGGACAATTTAAAGAAAAACTTTGAAAAACGGCAAAAAACGAGAATTACACCCAAATTCAACATTATATAAAATAATGACTGACACTAGGATAATTGTCAAATAATACACGACATTGTTGAATATGGCGCAATGTGACCAACAAGGCGATAATAAAAATCGGTTTAAACTAATTTTAGCAGCTTTAATCTAAATAAAATATCTGTTAAAATCATTTGCTCTATAAAGTATAATGAAGAGCTGCTTGGTATTTTAATTTAGTCAACAAATTTAAACATTTTTCTAAAATTTCATTTAGTCAGGTTTGGTTTGGATTTCGATGTGATTGATGTCGTCTGTGTATAGATTATCTATATCCGATATATATAAAATTTATTTTAAAGTATTGATTTTTATTCTTTTTTGGTCGTTTTAAATAAATTTTTCATACATAAGGATGAATACTAACTATAATATTTTAAAACTCCATATAATATGCTCCAACCACCTTCATCTACATTGGTATACTATACACGTCTAGACTAGATATTCATAATATTAATTAAATAATAATTATTATCTTCTTCTAAATGTGCCTATCCGTTACAGATGTTGGCGATAAGCAAAGAGATTTGAACTTTACTGGCTGCTGCTCTAAATAATACTCCTGTAGAAAGGGAAAACCAAGTTTTAGGTTTTTCAACTAGGAGATTCTGGGCCTTCCAGGTCATTTTTTGTTTAAGACCTTTCCCTGGAGTATCAACTGAAGTAGACCATATCTCTTTTGGTTTCTCATTATGTGTCCCAGATATGCTAATTTTCGTTTTTTCATAATGTCCACTATTTCGTCCTGTTGAAGCATTTCCAAAACGGTCTGGTGGGAGACGTGGTCTACCCAGGAGATTCTCAGAAGTCTTCTCAAAGGCTTCAGGTTTTTTGTGGACGCTTCTGTCAATATCCAGCACTCGGCACCATACAGGAGCACAGACCAGACATAACACTTAAGTAGTCTCATTTTGGTATGTAAATTAAGATCTCTAATCTTGAACAAATTTACCATTCTAATGAAAGCGGCTCTTTCTTTCTTTATGCGGTATTTTATTTCTACAAATTGGTTTCATTGCTCATTAATCGTAGTACCCAAATATGTGTAATTAACTACTCTTTCGATTGGTTGATTATTACCAGTTGGACGGGTTGTATAAACATATTCGTCAAATCTGAAATAGTTCTACTAACAGGGCATTGTCAGCTGATGGGTATCGAAAGCTGATGGGATTGACGAATTAAGCCATGTGCAGATTTTGTCAATCTGAAAAAGAAGGATTGTTGTGTCGACAGCCCTGTCTTGCACTGTCTAGCCTTGGTTGTAAGACTCTGACTATGAACTAACTATTATGTTTACTAACTACCATTACTTTTTTTGGTATTAAGAGATAGTCCATACTCAGTGCCGGCGCTAACGACACGGTTCATTAGTACTTGGACACCTTCGGGGTAATCAGCGAACACAACGGTATCGTCCGCGTAAATACCACATTCTCTGTTCTCCGTGCGATTTTAAATTTATGCTCCGAGTACAGATTAAATAGAGACGGCGACAAAACACAGTGACTTATATTTCTAATATTTATATCTATGTCTATGGTAGTAGGTATTCTATATAAACTTATTGCCTGTTAACAATAATACTTTTATCTAGAATATATTTTTTTTAAGTGGCTAAGTCAAAGACATGTGCACATTATACAGGGTGGTCCGAACTGTATTCCGGAAACTTCGGCAGCATATTCTGCAGATAAAAATAAGTAAAAAATTCGTATAAGTGCATGTTCTAAAGTGCTTAGTTTCAGAGATACAGGGTGTAGAAGTTTCATTTTTATTTCGATATTTTCCAAATAATTTCTGAAGTAACGTCAATATTTGGATGAAAATTGGTGTCTAGGAGTTTTTTGACATGAGAAATTTGATTTTGATATCAATATGACTCCTAGAGGTAGAGGGCGCCACCTACATATGTTTTAACTGTTTTGAAGCGTAATAACTTTTTGTCCGTACCTGTATAAAACTACAGAGGGAAAAAATATACATCTCTGCGACTTTTTACGCAAAAAATATCTCTTTATAAAAATCGCTACGAGCAGCCGTTCTCAAGATATTTAGAATGGAAATAGTCAATACATGTTATTATTGACGAAAAATAAACACGTTGAGAGTAGATAGTAATTTCACTGAAATAATAAATTTGGGAAATTTTTATTTTTTTAAATTAATCATAAATTTTTCAACAAAAAAATGATGATAAAACAGTTTCTGTTGATATTTTGGCACAAAAACTTTCAAATTTATGATCTCAGTATAATAACTATTTAGTCAACATGTTTAATTTATGTCAATGATGACAGGTATTGATAATTTCGATTCCGAATATGTCGAAGACCAATACTCTTAGCGATTTTTGCCAAGAGACATTTTTTACGTAAAAAACGTCGCAAATGTATATTTTTTTACTCAGTAGTTTTATACAGGTACGGACGAAAATATATTACTCTTCAAACCAGTTAAAAAATATGTAGGTAGCGCCCTCTACTAGTATGAGTCATATTGACATCAAAATCAAATTTCTCATGTCAAAAAAATCTCAGACGCCAATTTTCATCCATATATTGATGTTACTGCAGAAATTATTTGGAAAAAATCGAAATAAAAATGCAACTTCTACACCCTGTATCTCCGAAAATAAGCATTTTCGGACATACATTTATACGAACTTTTTTAGTTATTTTGATCTGCAGAATATGCTGCCGAAGTTTCCGGAATACAGTTCGGACCACCCTGTATATACTTAAAATAATTGCATCCTTCGGTGCCAAACAAATTAAATTGAATCCGAAATTTCAAAATGGCCAAAAAGAACAAAATTAATTGTAAAATCTAATATAGTATAGTAGAATCTGATACAACTTCTTTAGCAAATGAGTCTAGTACAGTACTACATATTCCACAAAACATCAATAAATTATTTGGTATCCCATAACGTCAAAATAAAATTACACTAAATCACCACAATACACCAAAACACTTTTACTTTTACACTGGACGCGCGTTTCGCTAACCATGTTAGCATCATCAGCAGATGATTATAAACTGATATTTTTGTTTTTGACACACATTCAGACACCATAGATAATTTTATTTCTAAGTTAAATAATCGTTTTCTTTCCATTAAATTTACGCATGAAATTGAGAACAACGACAGATTACCATTTCTAGATGTATTAGTTATTAGAAATACTAATAATTGCCTGGAATTTGATATCTATAGCAAAAATACCACCACACGCAGATATATTCCTAATGAATCACACCATAGTGTTGAACATAAAATGGCTAGTTTAAATTTCTTAGTTCATACATTACTTAGTTTCCCACTTTCCAACGAAAGATATGAAATAGAAAGAGATTACATTAGGAATGTAGCTGAGTGTAATGGATATTCTCCTTTACTAGTTGATAAATTAATTAGAAAACGTAGGTATAGGTTAATGATTTCCGAAAATTCGACTTTTCAAGTGGAGAAAGATACGTCTAAATATTTTTCAATACCGTTTGATAGAGAGTTATCCCGTGGTCTAAAAGGAATTTTTAAGAATGTAATAAACTTGTGTATAGTGCTAATAATAAATTATAACAATTATTAGGTAATCCAAAGGATAAAACACCTCCACTGGAAAGGTCGGGTATTTATGAAATTTCTTGTAAAGATTATAATCAGAAATATGTTGGGCAAACTAGAAGATCAATATTAACTAGATTTAAGGAACATTTAGCTCAGATAAGATATGGTAGACGGGATAAATCTTGCGTTGCCGAACATATTGTTGATAAAGAACATTGTATAGATCTTAATAATTTAAAATTAATTAAACAAGTCTCAAATTACAGGCAATTAGATGCATATGAAAGCATCAGAATTAATAAACGTAAAGATAGTATGAACAGAGTTAACGGTCCAATTCCTTCAAGTTCTTTGTTCCTACTACTCTAGTGGCGGAAATTAACTGTTACGCTCAGTAGGCTCTGACTCGGTTGGCTAGATTTTGCCACGCCCACTCGGTACCGACTGGGCGAGTATATAAACGCTCAACTTGTAGATTGTACTTTAGTTTATAATCATCTGCTGATAAAATATATCCAAACAAGGCTCATAAATGCAATTCATATGCCCAGAAATCTTCTGCGGCGCTACAAAAGCACTACAAGAAAACCCACAAAACACTTGGTGGTCAACAAATCTATAGAACAGTGGCGAAATCCACCAAGGAAAATACAGGCGAAAGAGTTCATAGTAGGACATTCGCCAACATATGCGGCAGATCTGATAAGACAGAAACCGTCAAATCTGAAGTAGTTCTACTAACAGGGCATTGACAGCTAATGGGTATCGAAAGCTGATGGGATTGACGCATGTGCAGATTTTGTCAATCTGAAAGAAGCGATTGTTGTGTCGACAGCCCTGTCTTGCACTGTCTAGCCTTGCTCTTGCTGGAAGACTCTGACTGCAGTTGACTGCAAATCTTGCATTTTTTATTAGATTTTACTATAACCGCTTTCTATATAGAAAATTTATAAATAAATAGCATTTTTAGAGCGATAAGTACGTGGCTCCACATGAGGTGTACAGCGTAGCGTAGCGTAGAGCGGAGAGGACCGCGAAGCATTCAAATGCATTATAGTAAATCAAACTGGCCCCACATACAGCGAAGCGTATTGCGGATTGACGCGTATTTCACTTACGTACTCCTCTCTGCCATACGCTACGCTACCAGCTTTATGTTGGGCCACGGCTTAAGGAGGGTTCAGTTTCCAAGTTGATAGATTTTCTTGAAAAGATAGGTCTGGAAACTGAAACTTAGAGCACAGAAGACAACAATAGATCTGAAAATATCGCAGTAGCACAGGCCATCAAAAATTTAAATCTTCTATTTAAAATAATCTAACATATTTTCTAAATTTGACGGTTCCGATGTTTTTTGTTATAACCAAAAAATATAAATTTAGCAAATTAGATGAAACTCATTATTTTTTTCTAAATAAAATATACGTGAACGTACACATCTCCGAATAATTTTTTCAAATTAAATTTAAAATATTTTGCACTTCTCAAAGACCGATAACAATACAATAACAGTGTTTAAATATCCTAACCAGGATTATCAGGATTATCAATTAATAAACAAGTTTTATATTATATACCGTACGATCGAAAAAAAAAGCGTCCTGTTGGCTTGGAAATGACGATAGATGGCATTTCCCATATAATTTTAGATACAGGGTCCGGCAATAGTGCGTCGGGCATCTGTAGCTTCTAGAATAAAAAACTTGAGAATTTTGTTTAAGTGCAAATCTAAAGTATCTACCAGGATGTATTTCAGGAAAATATTTTAACTTCTATAGAGTGGCTCAAAAAAGTCTGAGTGGATCTGGATGATTTTTTTTAAATGGAACACCCTGTATATTATTGCATTTTTGGCTTCCTTTCAGATAACTTTACATAACCCTAAGATATGAATAAACATATTTCGATAGTTTCGGAGATATTAAAAATAAATCAAAAATATATATTTTTTCAGTCCTTCTTAAAAAACTATTAAAAACACAGGAACTGTTCTGAAATCAAAACTATATTAGGTATTTACTTTAAATGGTCTGTTCTTACTTTGCTATAAATATGGTAATCGTAAATCATACAGGATGTTCAATATTCTACGCCAAACTTTCTCAAATATAAAATATTTTTTCTTTGTTTTTTAAATGGAACACCCTGTATATTATTTTTTATTAGATGGAGAGTTACAAAATGAACATTTTTGTATTTAGAGTATTTCAAAATTTTTAACAGTTCGCAGATACACGCAGTATTATTTCATATAGCGCTTTCAATGGTAAAATACGAGAGAAAAATCATTGGGTGGCTTTGATAAAAATTTACTGTGGAAAATGCCATATGAAATATAAAACCGCAAATATCTGCGAAACCGTTAAAAATTTTGAAATATTCTAAATACAAAAAATGTTCATTTTTTAATTCTTCGTCTATTGAAAAAATAATATACAGGGTGTTCCATTTAAAAATACGAAGAAAAATTATTTTATATTTTAGAAAGTTTGGAGTAGAATTTTGAACATCCTGTATGATTTACGATTTTCATATTTATAGCAAAGTAAGTACAGACCATCTAAAGTAAATACCTAAAATAGTTTTGATTTCAGAACAGTTCTTGTATTTTTAATCAATTTTTTTAAGAAGGGCTGAAAAATATATATTTTTGATTTATTTTTTAATATCTCTGAAACTATCGAAATATATTTATTCATATCTTAGGGTTATGTAAAGTGATCTGAAAGGAAGCCAAAAAAAAATGCAATAATATACAGGGTGTTCCATTTAAAAAAAATCATCCAGGTCCACTCACACTTTTTTGAGCCACCCTCTAGAAGTTAAAATATTTTCCTGATATACATCCTGGTACATACTTTAGGTTTGCACTTAAACAAAATTCTCAAGTTTTTTATTCTAGGAGCTACAGATGCCCGACGCACTACTGCCGGACCCTGTATAAAATGACAGCGATCTTCATTTCATAGCCATCGCTGACGCCGTTTTTATTCGATACTTAGTCCATGAAATATTTTTTTCGAATTTATAGGATGATAATTTGTCTAATTGATGGACGCCACTGACAGAACATCATTGACTGAAAAAGTGATGAATTTAACTTTTTTCCGTTTCTTGTCATGAGGGATAATAATGATTTTTAGATATTCGTTTAAAAAAAATTCTACACCACTGGCCAATATTTATACCTTTTGTTTGTTGCAAAGTAGTTTATATTCATGTTTTCGTTCATTCTTGGAAACCACCGTTGTAATTAAATAAAACTAATAGATTTATTTAAAAGTTTATTTAAAGTTCATCTATTCTTAAATTTATTTATTTATTAAAACCTAAGCGTTATTATTTACATCTGACTATATACAAAAGTTCGCAATAATTATCATTAAACTTAAGAAAAGTTTCTTAAAATATAGTTATAAATAATAGAATTAATATTAATATTATGAGTTAATCAATTTATAAACATTGGCACGAAAATTAAGAAAAATATTTTCGTACATTAGAAAAACAATCTTTATACAAAAATATCATGAGGTATTCTCTATTAATTAATTTCTCTACTTCGGTTGGCAGTTTTGGTATCTATGTCAAACTTAAATAAACAAATACATCATCGGTAATATCATTAAATTAACTTAATACAAAGACTGCTTTATTTTTTATAGAAGAAATCTCCTGATCCTGTCGGCGCTGGACCTTGAATGTCCTTCCATAATGACAGATCTACAACTGGTAAAGATTCACAGGGTACGACAGCATTTCTGAAAGAAAATAACGTTATTTTTGAGGGTTAACTAAAATACTCATTATATCATACGTGTGAGATATCCTTTCAAAACCTCTGGGCTGCATAGCTCTAACATTGTATCCATTATCGCACAGAAGCCTGGCTATACTGGATTTCTTAATCTCGTACAATTGTGGAAGTGTAAATCCTAGAATTCAAATAAATTAACAAATATTTCTTTTTAATAATTTAGATTAAATGTATACCTCCTTCTCCACTATTTTCAAACCAGAATCTGTCACCCACTCTGGTTCTATAGAATTGTTCTGTTAGAATACATAAGAAAGTGGGTCCAGCCAATGTTCCTGGGACGATAGTTTCCAGTGAACCTCCCACTGTTAAGTCTACGTCATCTGGATGTTCGAATAAACTGGCCAATCGGTTAACATTCTATAAAATTGATATTAGATAGCTAATTTTTTTTTGAAATTTTTTTGAAAAATATGATGTTAAAGAAATCACTGATTTCAGATTTGCATTGCCTTTATTATTTTTATAACAATGGTTTTGAAAAGGTGAATCTCATCACATGATTATTATCAATGTAAAAGTAATATACTCAATACTATAGCGTGACCTAATCACTGGTGTGAGGTAAAAATGGTGAGTCTCTATTTAAGAACTTTCAAAGCTATTGCCATCCTGTTATCTCAAAGTCACCCGGGTTCTTTAAACCTTCTCTCATTGAAATGTTATTCTTTAGAATAATGGAGAAATTCATCACGGCAAAGAAAGAGTTAGTATGGCTTACTTACATTCCTAAAATTTATTAAAGATCTTATCACCATCATCATCATTGGCATTACTCGCTGACGAGTATTTGACACACATCAGAAGATGACCACGCAATATTTCGGATTTCGGATTCCGGACATTTATAAATCTCATTTAGAGATTTCGGTAAGCGGTTTTTTTGCATCCTGCATACGTGACGTGATTATTTAGTAATCACGACTTCGACACTCTCGCAGCTAGTCTTTCGAAGGACCGATACGTTTGAGATATTGTGGTACCATTTAATTCTTAACATTTGTCTAAGGTGTCTCTGTTGCAACTTGTTTAATGCGTTCGTGTGCCGGCGGTACATCACCCAGGTTTCGCTTCCATATAACATGGTGGTGATTATTATTGCTTGGTACACTACAAGTTTCGTTATTGTGCTCAAGTCATAATTTTAGAAAACTCTGTATTTTTAATTTCCAGAATGTTCTTGAGGCGCTGCTAATTCTGTGCTGATTTTTAGAATCGATATTGGCCTTTTCCGAAATGAAACTGCCCAGGTAATTGAATTCCGGTACGTTTTTCAATAGTTTTCTCCGATTTTTATAGTATTGTTGTGATTTTCCGGGTGAGTGCACATGATTTTAGTTTTATCGATGTTTAGCTTAAGGCCCAAAGCATCGTATACCCAGGTATATGTGTTCAGCATTTCTTGTTATTACTGTATCGTTTTTGCAACTAGAGCGCAGTTGTTAGTATATTGAAGTTCTGTGATGAGTTTTATACGCGTTTTTGCCCTGAGTCTTTTTATGTTAATAACAGACCGCCGCGTCGCATCGCGCGTCGTCATATCTGTATCTAATGCCCATTCCTCTTTCCTGCAGTTTGCTGTCCACTATAATAGAGAGCGCTACCATGAATATGTTGAATAAGAGAGGCGTTAAGACACATTCCTGCCTAACTCCTGTTTTGCTAGAAAGAGATCGCTCAATGATCCATGATGTGACAATCTAGACTGTTGTTATAGAGGCTTTTACACACTATAAAAAATTGTTGGGTACTGCGAACTTTTACATAATTGCCCAAAGCGCATCTCTGTTTACAGAGTCGAAAGCTTTTAGGATAAACGCAACATACTTATTGCAATGCAACATTGTTGTAACAATTATGTTGCAAAGATCTAATAAGAAAAGATCGGGAGACTGTTAAATCTGTAGTAGATTTGCTAACAGGGCAATGTAAGCTTAATAGGCATCTAAAGCTGATGGGATTGACAGATGAAGCCACGTGCAGGTATTCTCAAAGTAAACAATATTTTGTGTTCTGTCGTTTCTTTTTTACTTTGAGAATATCTGCGCAGACTGGCAACAGGCTGGCAAAGATTCTTTGGTTTAGGCAATGATAAGCTAGAGATCGGAAGAGAATCACAATATATCTGGAAAGGTCCCAGTGAAATCTGCAGAGATCAAAGTTCTCCCTGTTCAATTGGTTTTTATAAGTTAGTAGTTTAACACCTACCGATTACTAAAGTAGGTTTCAATGCAGCTTAGGAAAATAATATTACATTTAACCTAATAACACACTAATAATTACCAGAGATTCGAAACGTTTCCACAAATATTAGTAATTAAAGACAATGCAACTCTGAAATCAGAGTTCTACTCAATTTTTACTGAATATTATAATATAAAATAAATGAAGTATAACTTACCTCTGGAGAAATAACATCAAGAAAATCTTGGAAGGAGTAAGCTCGAGGGAGTCCGCAAAAATGTCTGTAATCGTTGTAAGAAGCCAAACCGTGATCTCTGTTTCTCTGAATGCAGATGGCTTTCAAGTCTTGGCCAAGTTGCTGTCCAGGTTGTCTTAACCAGTTCAAAGTGATCTAATAATTAGTCAAGTTAACTTAATTTAGTATTATAAGAGTTTAAATGTGAAGCTCTTTACCTCACTATCATGATAAGCATCAGCGGCAAGCTCTGGTTGTGTTGCCAAACCTCTGGTGAGTTCGGCAAAGTTATTGCCTTGTTCGATAATGGCTGGTCGATTAAACCAGTCACTCAATCTGATGTTACCGTAACTGTTCCTCTTTTCTGATACCAGACTAAAAATAAACAAATATTTTAGGAACCAGTCACATTGTGCCTGGATTATTGGAATTTAAGTTTTTAATTTAAATTCGTATTTATTTTACCCTTGAAGTATTACTATTTCATAGAATGAATTGATTAAAAAAATTGATGAGGTCACATCACTTACTCTAACTGCCCAGCAATCAAAGTATGGAAGAATCTGAATGCAGCGTTAGCATGTTCATTCAAAATTGATGGATTCACTCCTGGATTGTAATCATCTACGTATCCCTTGTTTCTCCAGATAATTTTATTCTTTATAGAATTTTCTAGACCAATAAAGATAGGCAACCATTCGTAATAAGTGATGTGTTGATGTTGGGCCCAGTTAATTTTCCTAGCTTCTTGGAAAATAGTTTCGTCACTCCAGTGTGGATTGATTTTCGCAAGATTATCAGCTATTCTATTGTGCTCTCTGAGAAGAATTGTCTGGAGAATGGTAAGTTGAGGATTTTGATTTACCCTAGTATCACCTGGAAGATTCGTAAATAAATATTCAGTTTTTTATGTTTATATGAATACTAACCAGCAAAATAGCAAGGTTCATTAGGATTCAGAACGGTACAATCTCCAGAGACGTTCATACTTCTGGGTAGCCATTCTTGGTTGTTTCTTTGTTCAGTTCTGAGTCTACCTCCTTGGAACAAACGTACCTGTTGATTTACTTGATCGCTGTTACCATATACGATAGACAAATCCAAGAAGTGGTTTACAGCAGTTAACTAGAACAAAGTAAAAATGTAAAAAACTAATTAAGCAAATATCAATAGTGAGCATGGTATAAATAAGAGTGCCATTAGTAAAATTATTATCTTTGGATCTATGGATTATTTCTTTATTTAATCATTGAAAATATAAATCATATAAATTGCAATATTGTTTAACTATGAAATATAATAAAATTGTATAGCTATACAGGGTGTTTCAAGAAACATGTGCCATCTCTTGTGGAGAGATTCCTTACGTAAAAATATGTATAAATAAAAATATGTATCTTAATAAATCTTTCGATTTATTTAATTTTTCTTCCAAGTACTTTTAGTGATTCGAACGAAATTTGGAGGTTACTATAAGTGCTACATATTTTAATGCTAAAAAAGTGTCGATAAATTCATCAGGGACGTGCATATGTGTTATCAATTGAATACTTCATAAAAAAACATGTGCGCCACTGACTTTTTTTCTTTTGATGTTTGCTTTTGATGCAATAGCTTTTGTCCAAAAGTGTGTAGGGCGTTTAATGCCAATTAAAAGTTATCTGTTGATATTTTCCTCCTTGATGAGATAAACGCAATTTTATTAATAATACACAATAATTAATAAAATTAAAATAAAAATAAAATTAATATTTAAATTATATATTTTACCTAATTTATTATTAAATATTATTACTATTAGTTATTATTACTATTAGTCCAATCTACAGGAATTTTAAATAAAGAAATAATGATATTTAAGATCATTACAAACAGCTCATTTTAAAAACTTTGAACATCGTGTAACTCTAAAACTATGCATTTTCATACCCATGTTTATAGAAACCTTTTTTCATATTTTTTGATGAGGAATCAATGAGTACTTCTTTAAAACTTTCGCAATTTAATTATTTTAAAATTTTTAAACGTTGCTATTACACTTGAATCAAGACAAATTAATAAAATTGCGTTTATCTCATCAAGGAGGCCGAAATCGACAATTAATTAAAATTTAATCGGCATTAAATTGCTTTTATTAATAGTAGTTAGTTACTTTTATTAGTAGTACTATTAATTAATTCGCTAACAAGAGAAAAATAAGTCAGTGGTGTACATGCTTTTTTCAGAAAAATATTCCAGTGATAACCCATATGCACGTAATGGTGAATATGCCGACACTTTTTTAGCTTTAATATACCCTGAGATCCTCTGCGCTGGGTTTAGTGTATCCTGTAGCAGAATACTGTGCTCCAGTGTGGCTTAATAGCAAACACACCCGTATGGTCGATACTCAATTAAACCAAACTATGCGCACTATATCAGGGACAATTCGACCAACACCTATAATATGGCTGCCTACTCTTAGCAACATAGCTCTTCCCAATTTGCACCGAGAACATGCCTTGGTCAGAGAGTTTACTAAAATAATGAATAACCCTCAGCTGCAGGTCCCATGATGATGTACCACACATCCAGGGAAATCAACTACGATCAAGACACCCTCCATTGAAGACTGCATATGAGCTGCACCAAAATAATTTTGATATAAATGAGCGATAGAGAGAGAAATGGGAAAATGAGGCAGCTCCAACGTACCATGGTCTACCGTACGTTATTAATGAACCTGCAGGATTCGACCTTCCCCGTCGAACATGGACAACTCTTAACCGCATCAGAACTAACTGCGGAAGATGTGCCGACTCTCTAAATAGGTGGGGAACAGTCCCTTCAGCCGCATGCGACTGTGGAGCTGACAGGCAGACTGTCAAACATATAGTGCAAGACTGCCCAATAAGAGCATATATGGGCAACTCAGAAGATTTCCTTATGGCTACTCAGGAGGCAATTGATTATATACAACGACTGGATATCTGTTTATGAGACGAATTAGCCTATTTTTTTGTTGTGTATGTTTTTTTTTCTTTGTTTATGCAGTTTTTTTTATCTACATATTTTTTTTGCTGTTTATGCAGTTTTTTTATATACATTTTTTTTTGTTGTTTATATCATTCGGTGTCCTATAACTTAAGATACTGTGATGTAAGCCATACGCTAAGTAAGTAAAAGTAAGCTTTAATATATGTGGCATTTATAGTAACTTTTACTCTCAAAATTTCATTCAAAACGCTAAAAGTACTTGGAAGAAAATTATAATAAATCAAAAAAATAATAAGATTTTAACATCCTGTAACTACGAAACAAAGCAGAACCGGACCTATGTTGATATGAAAAATAAATCTTATTTTTACGTGAGGAATCTCCCCACGAGAGATGGTTTTTTGAAGCACCCTGTATACAGTTCATACCAAATAAACTTTTAGTCGCGTGATTAAGCTTGACCGGCACAACGCAACGCTGCCCACTTTAATATGTTTCTTCAATTGCCCACTTCAAGATATTTTAGAAAACAAAAATTAAATCATTATAAATATATAAATAGTTATTATTTACGTCAACTAAACTCACCTTCTTAACAGCACTTAAGGGACATAAAGGGCCATTACCAGAGAGAACACTAATAACTAAAGTGAGAGAGACCGATCAACGTAAGATAAGACTGTGTTAGTGGCGCGGCCTTTGGCGTCTAACCCGAACTATGAGCGTATTATCGATATAGTAGATTGCATTCATACCTATATACAGGCGCCAAAAATTTAAAATTTGTATATTTTTTGAACGGAATCTTAATTTTTCAACTTTATAATAAGAAATCTTCGTAGTTTTTTTAGATTATTTTCTTGACAACGAGAATGTATTATTAGTCTTTAAAGCATTAAAACCTATAAATAAAATACTGTGTAGGAACATAATAATTTATTTAACTCCAGACTCCTTGCCATACTCCAACTCAAGGCTGCAATCTTCAGTATCTTTTTTATCTAAATTGGTTGGGAGTGAACAGGGAAGCACGGTTTGGAGCTCGCACAGAGTATCAGTCGGTATCCCGTAGGTATTCAATGTTTTTGATGGTCTTTATTCTATAACAAGAACCTAGCAGTTGAAGAAAATAATTTGTATTACTGGAAATAATACCAGGTATAATACCTAGTCATTCCATAGGTATCAGAAAAGAATGTGATGTTTTAAATTAAAAAAATTAAATTAGCAATGTACGATTATTATGTGCACTCAATATTACTTTTAGGTATGTTAAAATAATTACCGAGATAAAACTTACCTTTAAAGGAAACGTTTTGTCTGGGTCTCAACCACAAAACAAAAATTACAAAATGCTGAATAATCGTGGAATCTGAAATGATCAACAATGACAATAATCTTCTCTTCTCACAAGCTAAAAGAACAGGCAAATTCAGTCAAAAACAATTTACTACTCCGATTTGTTCCGATTATCAACAGACTTTTGTTATCTCCTTCTAGAACTAAGAAATAGAAAAAACTACTGACAATCTAATTAATCCTGTCAAATGTTTAACTTGCAAAGTTGAAAACTTCCTTTTTTGACCGCCTAAACGCTATGCGCGTCTGGGATGCGCGGTGACAAAATAAACTTGTCTACGAAATGCCCTATTCCACAAGCCCTCTCACTTTAGTTATTAGTTTCTCTCTGGCCATTACTACCGATTTCGGGTTCAAAATATTCTAATAAATTTGCGATGAGTTTTTTATGGCATATATTTCCAAGCTCAAAGTATCATAACACTATTTATTTAAACCAAAAACTCGTAAAACATAACTAAAGTGTCAAAACGAATGAGATTGCCAGGAAATAAATAAATAAATGCGGCGACTTGACATTTTTTACAGCAGAGCTACCACCTGAATCCCCAGCGCAAAATTTAAATTCCACTTAGTCAGCATGGCGCCGAATATGGTTGGCAACAATGGATGGATTTAAAAATCGCGCCGTCGATTACTTAACTAAAAGTTTAATTGATATGAAATTGTCGATATAAATGAATGAAGATTATTATTATTATAAAGAAACCCTTTACCTGTCGAAGAAATAATCTTTTTACACTGATTTTACTCTAAAATTTGTCCTGTAGTAGTTCTCCATCTCCAATATCAGTCGTACCAAAATTCATGGCACGAATGGTTGTCGTCTCGGCGCACTCAGTGATGAGGTGTACTGGTGTTTCCCCATCTTCCCCACAGAATCTGCATTCGCCGTTTCCTCTTAGTTTCAATCTACTGAGGTGTCCATTGAGGAGACAGTGTCCTGTTAAAAACCCCGTGACAATCCGAAGATTGTTCTTACTCAGACCCAGGAAGGTCTGTGATTTTTCTTGATCATAAGCCCTCAGAAACTTCTTCGAGTGTCTTAGACCATTACAAGATTTCCATTCCAGGTTGCGGATGGAATCTTCCAAGTTCTTGAGTTCCGCCTTGAGTTGGTTACCACTTGGAAAGCAGAACGGTTCTGGTCGTTAGTGGAGTGTTCGCTCCTTTCCTAGCTAGATTATTTGCTTTTTCATTGCCTTCTATCCCTTGGTGAGCAGGCACCCAGTGTAGGAGGACTTTGTTTTCTTTGGCTAATTTATTCAGCTTCTCTATGCATTCTTTGACCAATTTCGAATTGACCGAATATGGTTGGCAACAATGAATTTAAAAATCGCGCCGTCGATTACTTAACTAAAAGTTTAATTGATATGAAATTGTCGATATAAATGAATAAAGATTATTATTATTATAAAGAACCCCCTTTACCTGTCGAATAAATAATCTTTTTTACACTGATTTTACTCTAAAATTTGTCCTGTAGTAGAATAATTTTAAATTACATGTTAATATTAGCTTTTTCAATCATCATGCAGCATCGCATGTTTTATGGTCTATTAAAATAAGTCTGATGTGAAAATTACATCGCATCACTATATTTACTTCATTGTAACTAGGAAATAGTTATTAGCTGGCATTTCAGGTTCTACAAACGACGATCTCATGACCTTTTGTGTATGCTGTTTATAGTAAGTTATAGTGCAGTAATGTTTATTTTTAAAAGACCAATACACGAAGATGACATTTAAGCTACCAGTCAAGTGTAAAGGTGTCTTCATACGTTAAAAGTATACCCCCCTTCTTGTTAGGATTAATAAATAAAAATCTACATACCTGCTCAGCTGGTTGACTACCACCAACACAATTTCGATCCCTGTCAGTAATAGTTCTTACGAAGTTCATGCATCTCAAATTTTGTTGAGAATAAGCAGGATCGTTGAAAGGTATGACAATTGGAAAGCAATGGTCGGGACTGTTTGCTAATTCTAATAACTGTCCATCAGCAGAGCAGCATCTAGTCGAGTGAGGTTCTGTATTGATAAAATAAAATGTCATTAACAGGAAATTCTTTCTAAAGTAAACAAAAACAATATACTAACGGGTTTGGGTGCTTCCAACTATCATACTCATGTCGTGAGTGATAATTTGACCATACTGCATAGCGTTTAAGTTCCAAATTGGATCTTCTACTGGTACATCTGGATAAATATTGATTGAAACTAATCTGGCACTTGGTAGTGCATTACCACTTTTAGCTAGAGTTGGAGTACTGACACCTTTGAAAGAAAACAAATAATAGTTGTAATTATAATTCACAGAAAGAAATTAAAAATTTGTGCAGCATAGATAACATTAGAATATATCCAAGTATAACTCTTACCATCTCCATATTTGGCTGGTAACAATCTATTGTATCTAGTTTGTGGTGTTCCCAATCCAGGGTTTTGTAAGTTATTGCATGAGCCATCATAAGATCTGTACCGAGATTTGGCACAAAACGGTGGGGTAAGTCCGCAGCCAAGCGTGGCCGGGTTTGGTGTGGTTTGTGGTTGAGGTAGACCGGGAAACTGTTGTTGGGGACCAAATATGTTTGATCTATAACAAATTAAAATGAATTATGTAAAAATGTTATCAATAAATACTGTTCTGAATAAATTAAAAATGACGAACAGATTATAAACAATAACAAGATTATATAAGGTACATTCCTTAGGTTATAGATTCTTAGGAATTATAATGAATAAATATGCAGATGAAGCCAATCTCTCAATTATTCAATATCTTTTATGCTACATCTGATCACCTCTTTCTTTAGAAAAAAAAACTGGTTCTTGTGCAATATTATATTACCTCATATATAAGGAAAAAATAATACTTTTATTTTTTATTGTTGTCTCAAATAATAATAATAGTAGATCATGTGAATCAGGTTAATCTATCTCAGTAGTATTGTAATATTGTAAGTGGAATAAATGTTTAATAAGTTAAATGATTATCGTTTGACATCTTAACAAGTAGTAATCAATACTACAAATAGCAAAAAAAAAATAATTGCTATTGATTGTTGAAGAATGTTGTCAGCTTTGATACAGAAGGAAGCATACGAATATATATGTATATGAACATTAGGAAATATCTTACCTTCTGTAAAGGAGTTCTGTAAACAACTTTTATCAGTTAGATATTCAGTTATAAGTGGAAACTCACACTTTTAGAAACTCACTCATTATTTGAATCAAAATTCTTTACTAGTTGACTTTAATTTTGAAAATTAGTATTATTTCGACCATGAATCTTTTTAAGTTTAAATATTATTATGCATTTTTATAGTTCTCTAGCATATTCTATATCGTCCTATTGCTGCCAAAAGTCACTAACTAACATTTTCCGAACAACCAAAAATTCAATCACTAACTATATTTTGAAGCGGAGAATCGATTAAAAAAGTCATTAGCTACGATTTCTGGCTATTTATGTTTTATTTTGATACCGAATAGTTACTAACTATAACATCTTTATGCAATGCAATTCATCTTTAGACGCGTTTTTCTTGGAAGTAATAAAAAGTAAGTTAGTGACTTTTGGCAGTAATGGGACGATATGAAATATTTATAAAAGTCAATAAATTATTGTACATCGTAATGGATAGGAACATAGTTAAATTGGAGCAAAGTTGCCCATTTTGGGATGTTCACCAAGGTGCCATCCAAAAAGTTTTAAAAATTTCAAGGATTGCTGATTAACTCCCCTCCTAAAAAGGATTGCTGAGTTTCTTGGAAAAACAGATTTTTTTGAAAATCAATTTTATTTTTTCCTGTCCTTACTTTAAATCCAAAAACTAATTGTACATTTTCATAGCCACTTTATGAAAGCTACGCGATAGTATTTTTAGATTTTACAATTTTCAAATTTACGAACCTGCAATTTTTATTTCAGGTTTTGAAATAACCCGGACCCCTGAGTAAAACGATATGCCACACTTTATGCTTTATTTTTGTTTTGGGTACCTTAACAACAACAAAACTATTTAGTTATTTAAATTAAATTCAAGTCCGACTCTAGTTTTTTAAATTACTTAAAAAGTAACTCACAAACTTATTGCACTGGATGTTTTAAAGTTAAGGTAAAAAACAACCCTTCCATAATAAGCCTGTATAAGTTGTATAATGAGCCCAATACTGAAGTTTATAAAAACTGAGTTTATGAATTAAATTAGGTTAATCTATCGCAGTGGTACTGTTATATTGTAAGTGAAGTAAATGCTTAATAATATAAACGACTAATAAATGTTATAAATTATTATGGTATTGTCATTTGACATCTTAACAAATAGTAATCAATACTACAAATAGCTAAGAAATAATTGCTATTGATTGTTAAAGAATCTTGTCAGCTTTGATACAGATGGAATCATACGAATATACATGTATAGGAACATACACAATATCAATATCAACAAACCAGTTACAATATCAACGAACGGATAATTACGAACAAATATCTTACCATCTGTAAAGGAATTAAAGTATTAATTGCGAAAAGGTCCATTTGAATCAAAATTCTTTCCTAGTTGACCTTTGAATATTTTTTGACTTTTTAATTTTGAATATTTAGTATTATTTCGACCTTGAATCTTCTTTCGTCATAAATATCGATAATATCATTAAAATAGTAGTCATAGTAGTACAGAAATTATAATGTCATAAAACATAATGAATTAACTTTTTAGGGCATTATTATTATTACTATTATATTCAGTATCGTTTAATTAAGCACACTTTTAGCAAGTAGAAAAGGAACTATTCATCTAAAGTCGTATATCGTGATGTGAATGATTAAAAACGAAACCAGCTGGATATATGAGGACTATATCTAAGCATGTACAAATTTGTTCTTAGATTCAATATGTTTGATCTCTAAAAATTAAATAGAAATTCTTCTAAATCTATTAATTAATTACTACTATTTTTTCTATAATATTATTTAAATTAAAAATAATAGAAATAGACACAGCTAGAGACTGTAAACAATAAGTAGATTATATAAGATACATTCTTTTTGTTACAGATTCTTAGGAAGTGAAGCAAGTAAATATGCAGATGAAGCTGATCTTTTAAATATTCATTGTTTTTTTCTGTACACTTTGAATATAGATTTTTATTAAAAAAATGGTCTCTTGTGCAATATTAAATTACTTAATCCCTAAGAATTTTGCTACTTATAAAACTCATGGTTAAAATGGATTTACTGGCAGAATTTCGAATAACTTTATTTGAAAAAGCTGTTTCTGTTTTAATTTCACTTAAGTGCATAATATGTTCAACAATCTATATGAAAAATACATTTTCTAATTTTAACCAATAGGCAGCCGATTTTCGTGGTGGAAGCAAAAATAACTGATATAACTAGTTCGTTTGTTATGAAATATTTATCTAGTAAATTTACGGATTTTGGGTACAGTACATTAATACTATGGATTTTCTATCATTAAACAATTTAATATTGGGCGTTGTATTTTGTTATTGGGAGTTGGCTTGGAAATGACGATATTATTTCATATGTAAAATATTATGGAAAATGTCAATAGTCTTCATTTCCAAGCCAACTAAACGACTTTTTGCTGATTATACGAAATATTAACTGCCCATAAAAGAAGTTATATCTTTGTTGTTTATTCTATTCTTAACACGAACAAATTTTCAATAAATAAACGCGGATTTTTCATCCAAAGTTATTTTTGTCAAATGTATTACAGATATTACACATTTTAATATGGAAACACTGTCGCTTTCAGGTCCACACCGTTTTCGATATGCCTTCGCTAGCCGAATTAGAGAAAATGAGTGTTTTATGCGTCGGCCGCAGAACGATTAGGGGCTCCACCGTACAGCATTTGAGACGTAAGGGGAAATCAAATCAGCCTTGTCACGAATTTGCCCATTAGGTTGCGTATCTTCCCAATTCTTTCAATCAACGACAAAATTAATATCTGTACATGCTGGAGATTTGCTAAACTGAGTATAATGCTATATGTCAAAATATATTTTTTATAGGCTATTTATACAGGGTGTCCCAGAAATAAGTGCAAGTATTTTAACTGGTAGTATAGTTCAACCCCAGAAACATGCCGATGAGGTTTTTTTCGCGAATTTTTTTTTTAAATTCCGAATTTTTTGAACAAATTTTTGGAATTTTTTTAGTTTTTAGTCAAAAAACATAATTTCTTGAAGATATGGCAACATAGGCAGTAGATTAAATTTACAAGAAAGAAAATCCAGAAAAGATCCAGTGGTTCTCAAAATTTTAGCATTTTTTTTTGTTGGAAATTTTCAAAGTAAAATAACTCCGTTATTTTGGACTTATTTGAAAAACGATAAAGAGAAAATATGTTTCTTTTGTCGAGATCTACCACCCTATTAATAATAATATGTCATTCTGTTCAGAATGTCATTTTCTATCAAATAAAATAAAAAATACCGAGGGTGCATTTAAAAATCAAAAGTTTTAGTCATTTCTGGTGAAACAGGAAGTGGCCAAAAACAATTGAATACGTCAATCAATTCTAATTTATGTCACATACTAACATGCCAAATCTCGATTCTTTATCTGAAAAAAATAAAAAAGTTGTAGGAGTGAGCCACTTTTGAGACGGTATATGTAAAATTAAAAAGAAACAACTTTTTCAAATAAGTTTTTCGAACTTTGACCAGGGAACCCGTTTTTAACCATTAATTACTTTAAATGTCAAATTTGACAGATATCTGAGTACAACAGAGTAAATTTTAATCTAAATCAAAGCGGAAACTATCGCCCAAGTCAAATTTCACCTATCTCAATAAATAAAAAAAAATCCAATTCCATATGATGCCGTCTATATGTGACATAATAATTCTATTTTCTACAACTATTAAATTTGGGTATTTACTTACCCTCCAGTAGGAAAATATGCATTTCCAAATCCTGTCGGTACTTGAGGCCCCTGAGAAATGAATCCCTGCCCAGGTGCTGTAGGTCTATTGTACTGCAAACCTTGTTGAGGTGCCGCACCATATGCGTCTTCTACAATACTTCCTCCATAGATAGTATTATCATAGGCAGATGGGTTTATGCTATTTAAGAATAGATTTTGATATGCTGTACGTTGCCCATTTGATAACTGGAAAACCAGGTGGAGAAGTACCACCGCGGTTTTTAGGGTTGACATATTCAAACCTGAAACAAGGAAGTTTATTAGTTAGATGAATAATTTTTAACTACTTATAGTAGTTATAAATTTGTTCAGTTGTGAATTAGTACCTTTAAAATGTTCAGTAGTTGATATGACTATGTTAACTTTTTTAACGTGCTTATCAAATAGGCTTCAGCTCTACAATGAAGCTTTTTTATTATGTAAAATATTATATGAATATAAGGATAGTTAAGGAAACTGGATATTAAAGGTTAACGAGTATATTAAATCTTTGGTAAACCCCATTTATTTAAATGTCATCAATGGTCATAAAGCACTCAAATTGGGAAAATACAAAATAAACAATTTTCTTATTTAAATATTATTATGCATTTTTATAGCTATCTATTATATTTTACATGACATATTTATAAAAGCCAATAAATTAATGTACATCTAAGTATATATTTATGTTTTAGATATAATTTTAAGTTGTTGAGACAAAAAACACATTTTACCACATTAATTAGAAGATTTCTCGCCCTGAACAAGTTTTTGTGAATATACAGTATGCCCCCGGATTGTCTTTACAAGAGGAAAAAAATATTGTTATTAACATTTTGAAAAAAAATACATTCTTCATGAAAATTTTTGCTATTATAGTATGAAGATTTGTAAAAGTATAAACGGGATTAACCATTTTAGAACAACCAAAATTTTTTATAAAAAATATATTTTCAATATAAAATCGTTAGGCCCACCCTGATGAGGATGTAAACGAAACGTTAGATAAAAGAACAAAAATCCTCCCAGAATCGCAAACGGGTTTTCGCACCAACCGAACCGTCGATTCCATATTTGCTATTACTCTGATCTTTTACTTTTTACACTTTTTTTTGCACAGCTCTTTTACTTTTTAAAAGAGCTTTACTTTTTAAAAGAGCAGTAGTCTAAACTTTATGTTGCATTCATCAACCTAACAAAAGCCTTCGACTCTGTGAACAGAGATGCACTTTGGGCAATTATGGAAAAGTTCGGAGTATCCAACAAATTTCTTACAGTGTGTAAAAGCCTCCATAACAACAAGAGTGTCAAGAGTGTCACCATCATGGATCACTGAGCGATCCCTTCCTAACAAATACAGGAGTTAAACAAGGATCTGTCTTAGCGCCTCTCATGTTCAACATATTCATGGCAGCGCTCTCAATTATAGGGAACATCAAACTGCAAGAGAGAGGATTGGGCATTAGATACAGATACGACGGCGCCAGCGCCGGCGCCGGCGGTCTGTTCAGCATAAAAAGACTCAAAAACATAAAAACGCGTACAAAATTCAACACAGAACTTCAATACGCTGATGATTGTGCTCTAGTTGCAAAAACGTTACAGCAATTACAAGAAATATTGAACATATAGTATACCTGGGCATACGAGGTTTTGGGTCTTAAGCTAAACATCGACAAAACTAAAATCATGTGCACTCCTCCAGAACAACACAACAATGTTATAAAAATCGGAGAACTATTGGAATATGTAGCGGAATTCAATTACCTCGGCAGTTTTATTTCGGAAAAGGCCAATATCGACTCTGAAATTCAGCACAGGATTAGCAGCGCCTCAAGAGCGTTCTGGAAATTAAAAGACAGGCTTTTCTACAATCATGACTTGAACAAAAAAATAAACTTGCAGTGTACCGAGCCATAATAATAATCATCATGTTGTATGGGAGTGACCCTGGGTGCCATACCGCCGACACAAGAACGCATTAAACAAGTTGCAACAGAGAAACTTTAGACAACTCTTAAGAACTCTTGGTTCCATCATGTCTCAAACGTTTCGGTCTTTGAAAACATGGTTACAAAATCCCGCTTAAGATGGGCTGGTCGCGTATACAGAATGCAAGGAAACCGCATACCAAAATCTCTGCTTTACGGTGAGCTTGTAGACGGTAAGGAGAGGCCGGGTGGACAACTCAAAAGGTACAAGGACATTTTCTATGAAAACTTAAAGGGGATTAACATGCAGAATGAGTGGGAAGAAACAGAGCTCATAATAGAACTCAATGGAAAAGAATTGTAAACTCAATTAACAGCGACAACCAAAAAGTAAAGACACAACAAAGCAACGAGATTTTTGAATGTCCGGAGTGTGGTAGATAGATAACATCACGTATCGGGGTTTTCAGAGAAAACAGAAAAGCTCATGAAAGAAAACGCCTTGCGTGACCATCTTCTGATGCTTGTCAAATACTCGTCAGCGAGTAATGGCAGTATGTATGTAATGAATATATGAAGTTAAAATTTTTCCATAACATAGACAAGAAGACAATAGATTTGAAATATAATTTAATTCTATTCTACATCTTTTAAACAGATAACTTATTCAGTTGCAAAAACTGGATTAACTAGTAAACCTTCTTTCTATCGATTATTATCTTTTTCATGCACAATTTCAAGGTTCTTAAGCATATGAAGAAAAAAAACTCTTCGGAAAAAACTAACGCCAAGTAATGACACCGCTGAAAAAATTATTTAACATTATATTCCATGCGTTAAGTCATCGAGATGTTTATTTATACTGTAACATTGTTATTATTTTATGAACCTTTTGCAATGACTAGTCGATTATCGACTGCGGTGAAGAAGGAATTTGATACACTTCCCACGCGTTACCCCGCAGAATGGCCAAAGTGATTTATTTCCCATTTTTTTTTGCTTGGTAAAGGATACGGTTGTAATCAAGAACAAATGGTAACTTCAACAATAAGGAGATAATTGCATTACAATAATACTTTTATTTTTAATAGAATAGAATATCTTTGACTAATTATTGCATCTTTGAATTATACAGGGTGGTCCGAATTGTTTTCGGGAGACTTCGGCAGCATATTCTGCATATAAAACTAAATAAAACAGTTTATATAATTAAGTCCTAAATGCTTTGTTTCGAAGATACAGGGTGTAGAATTTTTATTTTTATTTTGATTTTTTTTTCAAATTACTTCTCAACTAACGTCGAGATTTGGAGGAAAATTGGCATCTGTTGCCACAAAAAAAAATGCTTTCGATGTCAATGTGGCTTCTACTTATAGGGGGCAAACCAATAACTTTTTTTCGAACATGTATAAAATTACTATTTATCTAGTCAATATGTTTATTTTATACCAATGAAATCGACATGTATTGATTATTTCGGTTTCAAATGTCTCAAGAACCATTACTCTTACCGGTTTTTATCAAGAAGCTTTCTTTACGTAAAAAATGAAAAATTTTAAATTCGTGATTTTATTGACCTAGGATTGCCATACATTGGACTTGTTTATGCTCTTTTACAGATTCTAGGGGTCAAACATAATGATTCATGACTTTGATCTTTGGAACTTTCAGTTCAGGTTTCAAGTTCACTCTAAAAGTCTTCAGTGTACTTTAGGTCTCTATTTGCAAATTAATTTTGACATTTCTGGTAAATGTTTCTTTCTTACGTAATCCCCTAACTATAAGTAAAGAGTCATTTATTTGTTTACTGGTTTTAGGTAAATTTAAACTCACTATATGTGTATATACAGGGTGCTACAAATTAGAGGTACGAACATTGGTATCTCGGAAACCGTAATAGATACGAACACGGTTAAATTGGGGCAAAGTTGCGCATTGGGATGTTCAACAAGATACCATCAAATTTTTTTTAAAAATTTCAAGGATTGCTGAATTATTTGGAAAAAACGGATTTTTTGGAAAAATCAATTTTATTTTTTACTGTCGTTACTTTTTAGAAAATCAAAAAAGTAATTACACATTCTCATACCCACTCTATTAGGGCTCTATCTGATACTATTTTTAGGTTTTCAGATTACCTGATAATTTGTGAGATACAGAGGACAACTTAATTCTTTTAAATACGGACCTGCATTTTTTATTTTAGGTTTTGAAAGAGCTCGGTCTCCTGAGTACAATGATATGCCACACTTGATATATATTTTTTTTGTTTTAGGTACCTTAACAATAACAAAACTAGTTAATTTAATAATTATTTAAATAATTTCAAATCCGACTCTGATATTTTAAATTATTTAATATAATTATATTCATCCCAACAATATTGATTACCGCTAATTTACATTGAATAAGGAAAATCGAGCCAATTGAAAGATTCACATAAATTATCAGCAATTTAAAGATATTATTTTTATATTTTTATTCTTTTAAAGATAAATTTTTTTATTGTGAATTTGAAATCTCAGTATACGATCTAATAATATGTAAAACCTAATTTGTAATGCTAAACTAGTTTCAAATGCTCTACATGTTCGAAAGGGTTACCTACCACGTTACCACCCTCCTTAATAATTTATTTTTTATTCAATCTTATATATAGCTCTTTGGACGTATCTTCTTCTTATACTTCCAAATGCATTTTGTACATTTTACATTTATTGAAAATATTGAAATGTATTGATTTCACTTTTATAAATGACGTCAATTATTGACCCACCGACCCTTGGCGACAGGTCCAGGAACCCTGCTGACCATTATACTGCTCTACCATTTCCAAGCCATTTTCCGGGGAACTATACTAGACAGACTTAGATAGACTAGATACTAGACAGACTACTAGATAGCCTTAATAAAGTGGGAAAGTGAAAAAAATCAAAAAACTAATTGCACATTCTCATAGTGCAATTAGTATTTTGATTTTCTAAAAAGTAACGACAGGAAAAAATCAAATTGATTTCCAAAAAAATCCGTTTTTTCCAAAAAACTCAGCAATCCTTGAAATTTTTAAAACATTTTTGATGGCATCTTGGTGAACATCCCAAGGCGCAACTTTGCCCCAATTTAACCATCTTCTTATCTATTACGGTTTCCGAGATACCAATGCTCGTACCCCGAATTTGTAGCACCCTGTTATAGCATTTACAAAAAAAAGATAATCTATATTATTTTAAATTTCTGTAGCAGCATCTTGGTTCCTTCATATTAGATAACTTTCAAATTCAACTACCCAAATTAATTCATAAATTAATGATCCATTTAATAAATATAAA